TACACAAATCAAACTTCATATCTTGAAACCCTGAGTTCCACTTGGATAATGGTGAGAAATGAAAAATGTGTAGTTCACATCCTTTTTCACAGAATCACTTAGTCTGTGGTGTCGACTATACCATATTAACAAAAGGAGAATGTCAACCTATACTATCACTGTGGTGAGAGTTGCCTGCGAACAAACCAAAATTGTAAACAACAACTTACGTCAATGTTCACGTCTCGAATCAGGGTCATGAGAAAAAACGCATTAACAAAGCTTGACCTTGAGGGACTCAACAACCAATCACAGCGCACTTCACGTGTGCAAATACGATTTGCAGATATATGGCTTAACTTTCTGAGAAACGGTCACAAGCAATACAGAATAACCTTCGGCAAGAAAACAACCAATCAGAAGACGTTGGTTGTTTCTCTGCTAACAACAACGCTAATAATAATGTACATAAAAATCTATAGTTATCTGTTGATTTCCTCAATAAATGATCTGTTACCTGGCCCCTGTCTTCTGTTGTTGCACTACTACTTCAGTCACTGCTCTTTTTTTATTCCAACTTATCGAGGTAATAAGCTAATGGCTCGAATCCCGTTCCACCTACTTTAACTGGCTAGCATCATAAGCGCTGACACGTTAAGTGTGACTCACTGTCTGGCACATGAAAAATACAACACCTGTTACAAGTGAGTACTTTTCATTAATTAGTAACACATGTTCACTGAGCGCGCTATCGCCTTTTATCAATCAATTTTATACTGAATCAACCATAGTACTCACCTAGGGACTTCATCTGTGATACCGTTCTGATGCTAATCGCTATCATAAAAACTTTACAAAGGTTAATTAATGTATCGACTAATATACTGTTTCTTTGTTACATCTAGTCAGTTTGAAAAGCAGATTTAGGTGTCAAGGTCAAGTTACTTTCTTTATATCAACACCAACAACAGACAACAATCAGCATAAATGGGAGGAACCTGAAACTACCTCCTTTACCTACTTGGGAAGCATCATTTCAATTACAGGCGAATGGAACTGACGAGGATATCAAAGCAAGGATCGGGAAAGCAAGGCAAGCTTTCACTACTCTCAAGTCTGTGTGGAGGTCAACACTCAGAACTCAGCATCAAAAATAAGATCCGGATTTTCAACTCCGATGTGAAGTCAGTGCTACTTTATGGATCAGAGATTTGGCGCGACATAAAAAGCACTTCGAACAAACGACACACCTTCATCAACAGCTGTCGTCGCTCAATACGACTCAAGATCAGATCGCCGGCCAGAAAAGATCAGGAACAGGTATCTCTGGCAACGAGCGAACCAACACAGCAGGAACCGATTGTGAAACAAATAGGCAGGAAGAAATGGAGGTGGATTGGCTGGCCATACTCTGAGGAAACCATCAAGTGACATCACTAGACAAGCCAGTGCTCGAGTGGAACCCGAAAGGGAAGCGGCGGCGAGTTGGTCGTCAGTGCAAGGGTGGGGTGACTTGGGGGAGGTCATGTGAAGAGGGGATGAAAACGTGTGGGCAGACTTGGAGCCAGGTGAAGACTAGCAGAGAATCGAACGAAATGGAGACGCGAGGCTGAAGCCCTATGTTCCTCTAGGAATTAAAGTATACAATAATAATAATATTCCTGTAATTCCATTAAACGAATTGTTGAATTAGAAATGATTGATAGTTCATGTGGGTGATATTTGTATTCCATGAGCTGGATAGTTTAATTATTAGGCTTTCACATTGTCTGCCTAGGCAACGTCTTCAGCGGTAACATCCATATGAAGTAGGCTTTTAGAACAAATTTCTCCCGAGTATAATAACAGTGTCTCCTGGTGACCCTAAGCATGACTTATTGTTTCCGGAGATTTTCTCAACTTTTTATCTATCTGTATTGGTGGTATTGATTAACTTATTGATCTTATGCCCATGTGACTTCACTTTTATTGTTTGATAAATCTGTTCTAGTTTAATGTATGAGTAAAGAAAAAATATCCAATACAGTCTTACAGGAGGTCAATCGCTAGTCAACCCGAATAGCTCATTGGTAACGTCTCTAACTGCAGAACCAGCTATCGACCAAAGGGCGTGTGTACTGCTCAGCATTCCCCTATGTCCTCCGTTATCACAGTAAATAGGACATAGCCATTAAAAGTGGGATAAATGAAAAGGCCGGCTTGGTGTCATTGAGCATAGATGTCTTCATTTTATCTCTCGTGTTACGTGGTAGTGAGGCATCGGTCGAGTGAGCGCTAGGTAAATAGAATAAATCAATCGATGACGTTGTGAAGTAGCTGCGCCGATTGAGACAGATGGTTAGGACATGTATTTCAAGCTATCCATCGCCTTTCTCGGTAATGGGCAATGTTAGCTGCCTGACATAGGATGGATGGATCAGGTTGGTAAAGACCTAGGATATGGTGGTCAAACGAAAATATGGCTTCATCAGTCAATGAAATCCACAACAGTTAGTTTAAGTAGGCCAGACACACAGCAAGGCACGTAGTGGTGTAAACTTGCTGACTGGCTGGTTGGGGTCCTCGGGATGGCAAGAACCAATGACTGGAGACAACTGGTAATATTGGCTGGCTCAAAGTGATCGTTCTCGATGGCTGGCTGATGCAGATGCATTCACTCTTTGTGACTTGTCATATCCAATAAAATTCTATTGTTCTTCCACAGTACTATCCTTTTTGCCACATACTTCTGTTTATTATGTCTCTCTTTACTCCTTTCTCTTCCTTTGTGTGTTACATGGAGGGAGTGCGGCAACTTAAACTACTGCACATCTACGTAAAATTCTACGTTGAAACCAGTCAGTCAGCAGAACTGGGTGACGCGGGTTCAAATCTCAGAAGGGATATGCGTTCCTTCGAGGTTGCAGATATGCCTTGCTTACTACTGACTGCCAACTAGGACGACGACACTTAGGTCCAAGGCTTCCTCCCGACTGTCTCAAACCATCTAATGTATCAGTGTGTTGATCGCAGATTCATCTAATTAAGCGTCAGGCTTCCAGAAATTCCCTGGAATAAATAATTTTGAGGCTTCCACTGTCTAGAATTCCTACGTTTTCTTAGTCAAATTAGTGTCTATAGTGCTGTCTACAAGCATCGATACGAAGGAGTACATATCATGCCTTGTGACACTTTGTATTCTTGGACTCAGAATGAAGAGCAACTCACACTTTGACCAATAAAAGGCTTGCAATATTTCATACGATTTATTTTGTTGATGATGATTTTTTTATTGTCTTACATCTTTTGTTCTGTGTAGTATATGCGCGGGGAGAAGGGGCAGTGTGACATTAATTCCAAACGGAGTCAGTAGTTTTTCATTGATATCAGAACGGTAGGACGATTTTTTTGTGCTTTCATAGGATAACCTCCATAAATGACTCGGTACGATCAGGAGAGTGGATAGACTTCAGTTTTCCTCTCGAAATGCTGTCATGTACTCGCTCACACTTTCATAAACTCACCCCACCCGCAAGCTAAGTCATATTAAATGCCTTCACACGGCGGAAGTGTTCCTCACAAAAGTGAAATGCTGAATTCGAATGCCTGATGTTAAAAATCCTAATTCCAAACCTAGGATGTGTACATCAGCTCCGGTTACTGAACCAATCGGCTACATTATGAACTTGTTTTCGTAGCTGAATAACCATAAGGACGGCGTTCGTGGAATGCCTCATGAATTAGACTTCAGTTCAAACGTCACTTCATAATAATAAGATAACCTGCTTTACAGTTTGGGCTAAAGAAGGACTGTCCCATGCTTTGTACAAACCACGAAATTTCTTACCTACGGTGTACCATGTATGTATTGTATATATATATGCATACATGAGTAAGACAAGACTGGCTGTCCACTATCACCGATGATGTTCTTCATTGTGGTGGACTGGATTATGCGTCAAACTGTTGGAGACGAGGAGTCAGGAATACGCTGGACTAACGATGAGAAGACTCTAGAAGGTCTGGATTTCACAGATGATATATGTTTACTGTCACACGAACTCGAAGACTTCCAAACGAAAAACCAACAAACTGGTTGAATAGGCAGCGAAAACTGGACTGCAGGTGAATACAGAGAAGACGGAGGTGATGAAGATAATCAATCAACCGAACGACAGCACCAATCACCATCAACGGGAGAGATTTAACAGAGGTTGCCTCCTTCACTTATCTGACCAGGAAGCATCGTTTCAACTACAGGCAGTCGGAACGGAAGAAGTCGTAACGCCGGTCAGAATCGGAAAGGCAAGATATGCCCTCATTAACCTGAAACCAGTTTGACAATCTTCTACACTCAGCATAAGGAGCAAGATTCGGATTCTGTTCAACACCAATGTGAAGTCGGTTCTTCTATACGGGTGAGAAACTTGGCCAGAGTGTCACAAAAAGGGTTTCCAACAGGTTGCAGCAGACTTTCATCAACAGCTACCTTCGCTGTTTTCATACTGAAGATCAAACGGCCGGCCAGAAAGAATAAGTAACAAGAACCTGGCTGGGAACAAGTCAACCAAGAGCCGACCGATAAAAAACTATGTAGGAGAAAGTGGAGATGGATTGATCGGGCATACATTGAGGAGGCCGGCGAATGACATCGCACGCAATGCAGGCGATTGCTCTAGTGGAATCCCTTTGGGAAGCAACGAGTGGGTCGTCAGTGCGAGAGTGCCAAGGAGGAGATCGTGTGAGGAAGAGATGAGAGAGTTTGGTTAATCGTGGACCCTAGTGAAGAAGACAACAGAACACAGAACAAAGTGGAGAGGTGTTGTTGAAGCCCTATATTCCACTCGGAACGCACATAACATTTCATTGGATGATTTTGAGATTGCCCGTTGACATCTGTGTCTTAATGAAGGTGTTGCAGAAACCATAGGCCTTAGAGAATATAACTACAATAATTCCAACCCAATTGTTTGTATGAAAACAAAAGAAGTAAGAATCACAAAATAAGTTATACTTCTGTCACTCACTCACTTAATCAATCGATAATATATATTATAGTATTGTAACATCACAGAGTGTATATACAGAACAACTGCACAATCCACACACACACACATACATACAGAGTTCACATTGTGCATTATTATGCAATATAATTAAGAAAATAATAATACAGGGAGGTAGTAGCAAAGAGAGAACAGCAATTACAGCTCAAATTATGAATACATCTCATTGACCTCTTCACCAGCATCGTCGACACCATTGTCACCATTTTGCACAATTGTCTCAGACGATGTTGAAGAAGTCAACGTCAAATAGAAACTGCACAGTGCTGATTTTGATATCTTGGAATTGGACGGCTTTTTAGTTGTTTTCGCTGTTGTTGTTTCTGTTGTCTTATGGCACTTTTTGACAACTTTACCAACATCACAACCTGTACACATTAAACCGATTAAACAATTCTCCGAGAGATTGGAGTACAATTTGGTACAGAATTTGGTTACTTTACGAGAGCATTTCTATGTGTATATGCGTGTGTATTTGAGAAGGGAGTGAAGAAAAAAGAAGACAAAATCAAGATATGATGATCAACACAATTATACAACTTACAGTTAATTATTTTTAAAGTTTTGATCATGAGCTGATGTCAGTCAGAGAATTCCATTGGAAAACTAGAAAGGTGTACTGGATAGCTATATTTCCTTCCGGGGTTCGAACCCAAAACCTCCTAACCCATCACAAGGCAAACTCGTAGACCATTATTCAACGCCACTGTGACCCGATCCAATACCCGGGTTCATGAATTCCAACTTTTGTCAATTTGTGATGTGTTGTAGCACAAAACTGACAGTATATGTCATAGACAAGTAACTATTCTCTTGCCTGAATTATTTTTTACTCCTTAACGTCCCCAGTGCTGGAACATAGGATGCCTTCAAGCTGGGGCTTTGAAGTTTCGGTAGTCAGTGGTGTTTGTTCTTACGAGATAGGGTTGCCAACCACATGTCCAGCCTTCTCTCCTTACCAGTCTTAATACTGGTTTAGCTAAGTTTAACAGTGAGTAGGTGGCCGGTTGTGCGTCGGTGGCACAGCGGTTAGGACGCTCACCGACCATGCACATGGTCCAGGGTTCGATCTTCGGCCGATGCACTCCTTTACCTCACTAAGCCAGAAATAAAGCTGTTGAAGAGGAAAGGTTGGGCATGAGGCTAGCAACCTCATCCTGTAAAATTAACCACTGCTGCAGAAACTTCAAGCCACTAGCTTGAGGCCCTATGTTCCACTGGGAACGTGAAGGAAAGAAAAAAAGAAGGTGACCAGGGATCGAACCGCAGACCACATTGTGGTTGGCGAGCAGTCTACCGCTGACTTGACAGATCCTATTGGTTGCGCTTTCTCACTAGAAGTTTAGGTAAAGAACCAGTCGCTAGTGAGCATCACATTAATTTTATTTTTTGACTACAACTCATTATCAATCTTCCAATTTACTTAATTGTTTGCCTATGTAATAATTTTGCTTATACTTACCATTTCTTTCATACTTCCACACTCTCCTCCTTTCAAACATTCTATGACATTAGGTATAAATAAAATTCTTTTAATTAGATTATTTAACAAAGGTGTACTCATATCGCTTGTTTTATAACAATCTTCTATGAGTTGGAGTAATTTTTGAAGTAATTGATGAGATGCTCACTAGCGACTTGCCCTATTCAGATAGGTAGTTACCTGTGGTTCTAGTGGGAAGTCGTAACCAGTAGGGTGCAGCAGGTCGGTGTGTAAGGACAAATACTTGCCTGCGATGACATTGGCTAGCGGTTGCGCTATGTCGTGAATTGGCAGAAGTTGGAATTCAAGGGCGATTGGATCGGGTTCCAATGGCTTAATTGTCTACGAACTACCTCACCTTGTAACCAGGAGGTCCTGGGTTCGAACGACGGCGGTGGGTGCGTACTGATGAACAATCCCAAACTAGGACGAGACAGCTGTCCAGTGGTTCTCTAACTGATGTCAGCTCATGATGAAATCCTGTAACCAATCAATCGAATCCCTACAAACCAACACTTGAATTTTTGAGGCTGTCAGGGTGGCTGATGATAAACGGCGAAATATAGAGAAACACCAGCTCTTTTCATCCTGCAAAACCAATCCTTTGTTCTTTATCTTTGTTCAATTTTATCAAGGGAAGTGGTTTGTGAGATACAATCAAATATACCAAGTGAATATTTTTAAAAGTTAATATGTGCACATTTGTAACGTTATATAAGAGGAATGTTTATTTGCAATTTGTTTATCTCTCATATAATGCGAAATTATGTACACCTCGGAAAACTTACCCAGAATTCTTAACAAGGCAAGCAGGAATAAAAGTGGCTGCTGGCATTCAAACCCACAAACTCAATTAGAAACAAGCATTGTCGGTTAAAGAATCAATCCTGTGGAGTCTTTAAAACAAAACAATTTAGTTTCTCTAATACCCTGCCTGCAGTGACTGTCAGGTCAAATACATCGGTCAAACTAGTAGAACAGGGGCAGTCAGACTAGCCGACCATAAAAACCTAGCAAAATCTAGATCAGTTGACCCGAATAATATAAGAAATCTAGAGAATAGTTCAGCTATAGCACTTCATGCAGTTACACACAACCATACAATAGGATGGGATGGGATAAGATGATAGTTTTAAAATCTAATGTCACAGGGTCGAGGGACAGATTGATAACAGAAGCTTTGTTTATCGAATCAACTGCAAATACGTGTAACAGAAATGATTCCAAAACCTGTCTACCCAGATATCTGGAAAATTCTACTACCCCTTCGACAAACAGGAGAGAACAAAGAAAACTATAAAACTCAAGTTTCCAAGTCTTGTGATTATAATTGATATAATTATGAACAATAAATTTCGTTCGAAACGCCATCCAGCAAATAATACTGTTTTATTGTGTGATACATCTAGTAAACAAACTGATATGGAATTACTTACTACCATAGTGCCCAAGTTTTACACATGTATTAATATGTACACCTTATCTTCAACGGACCATTTGCACAGATCTTCCGTGTTGCGCTCGCTACTTCTATCTTTCCTTTGTATTGTGTTTCTTTGCATTCGCTTCACATTGTCTCCCATTTATCTTCACAACACTGTATAATTTGCTTTCTCTGACATCAAATCTATCTCTGTGTTATTTGGTGTTTTTGTTCCGATGAACATTTCTTTATTTATATATACATACTACTAATAAATTTTATGAGTAGCACAAGGACAACATAGAGAAGATAGCGAGAGGAAGAAATGAGAGCTTGTATAGGTTGGCAATCGTGTAGCCAACTGGAGAGAAACATAAAGAGTGAAATGACGATGTGCTCCGTATTCCTCAGGGAACCCGGCAGTATAATAATAATAATAATCATAAAACAATCAATAAGATATATTCTTAGTATAAACGCATAAACACTTACAGATTCATTCCATTCAGGGGGACAATTCGCCTGTACAATGACAAGTCGTTTTGAATTACACAAATCAAGAATATAGTTTAAAAATTCTGTAGAAATTGTATTCACTGTTGACGAATTTTGATCGGTAGTAGAAGATGATGAAGGAGGAGGTTGAGTAGTACCATTAGTAGTATCTATGGAATTACAATTACCAGACTTTGTTGTTAATGTATCATGTTCCTCCAGATTGACTACTAGTCCATGAGTTAGTTCTTCCCGTTGTTCGCCAACTTCTCCACCTTCGTCTACCTTGTCTTCGTCTTCGCCAACTTCTCCATTTCTATTCACATTTTCATCATTATCATTATTATATACAGGCCAATATGCATAAGTCATACCAGAATCGTGTAGTAGACGATTGAAAAAGTGGAACGGCCCACCACCACCACCATCAGATGATGATGATTCATACAATGAGCATAATTTTAATACACGATCATGAAATACATGATGGACTTTTAGACAATGCTGTTCTGTAAGAATTTTCATATTATCATCAATGTCTTGGTGGTTAACAGTACCTTTGGTGTTGGTGGGGGTGGTTGCGTTAAGTCTACCACGAATGTATCTTTTGTTAGGATTATTATTATTATCATTGCTACTGTCGTTGTTAGGTGGATTGACTCTTGCAGACTTGAAGAAAGAAATAAATAAACATCAAAAAGTAAGTATCAGTAGCTGAAGCGGTTGCAATTAATACCAGAAGACCATCTCTTTGCATACAGAAGAAGTATGTTCAATCACTATGTTTACTTTGGCCTACAATAAAGCCAACAAATCCTCCATTAACACTAGAAATTCCTTTCACAATTTTCTTTTCTTTTCTTCTTCTTCTATTCCTCTGTTTCATTGACAAACATTCACTTTCGACTTTTATGATTTCATGACCTTTCTTATGATTTTATTACCTTAAGTTTAAATAGTGCTTTTCTAACTTGTTATCGTATTTACAAAATCCTGTTCATTCCACTTCATTATTATTATTTGACAATCATTCACCAATAGTGCTTGTAATTTTACACCATATCATCGTTATTATTTCACAGTCATTCTTATTGTCGTTATTTTCAACCTTGAACTTATGTCCAGTTTGCCCATTCGTTGGCTTATTTTCATATTGTCTCACACACTCTCGAAACCTGTATTTTCTGTTGGCTATATTTATATATATACACACACATCATTAAATTAAATTACTTCATCTCATTTTGTCCCATGTTCTCATTGACCATGCATATTAAAATAAAACTAACTGACTATTGTTCCATTCCATCTTATAATTGTTCCACAATACACTTTCTGATATGATTCTAATTTGCCTTTACTGGCTATTGTATGCTTAAATTAATGGATTTATAATTGTAGAGCCTGAAGAAGAATTTATTGAAACCACAATTGTTCGCTCTAAATATTTTGTTCTGAAAAAGTATTAATACATAATATATACGTGACAGAACAGTATCAATTAAACGGTGGGTTTATTCCAGTTCAGTTAAATACCAGAAAAAATTTTTCCATAAACCCCGGTGTATATGAGCTACATTTGAGGTGAAAGCTGTCAGCTAGCCGCAACTGGTAGACAACAATTGACGTTAATATTTACGTCCCGAATCGGAGTCATGAGAAGAAAAAACACAATAACAAGGCTTAACCTTGAGGAACTCAACAACCAATCACAGCACACTTAACGTGTGCAAATACGATTCACATATATATGGCCTAACTTTCTGAGAAACGGTCACAAGCAGTACAGAATAACCTTCAGCGAGAAAACAACAAATCAGAAGACGCTTCTCTGCTAACAATAACGTTAATAATAATGTACATAAAAATCTATAAATATCTGTTGATTTTCTCAATAAAGAATCTGTTGCTTGGCCCTTGCCTTCTATCGTTACACTACTACAACTATTAAGTTCTCTAAGGAGTCAAAGTAGGTAGAGAGGGATCCGAAACCTGACTGAAAACTGATTACATAAACCGATGAGCCGATTATCAAATAATTTGATCACTACACTTATTGAACATGTTCTAAACAGTAGTTACCTAGACTTAAGAGACCATGCTACTCGAATTCATGCAGCCGGGCAGGTAACAACTTACGGAGAGTTGTAATCTGAAGTGGTGGCAACCAGTGATGTCCTTCATTGAGGGGTGTCCACTGTCCCCATAAATTCCATTTAATTTCATCATAGATGACTTCAGCGACTCAGGGGTCGACTCGTTACTATCAAGGAATACTCTCGTTGACTTGGAATATGTAGATGATATGGTCCTCCCGCCTGGGTGAAAACGCTGATAAAGTAGAGCATAATCTTCTGAACACCTAGATAGGTAGCAATCTACGGGTATTTGGCATGTGGTTCGCTCTTGCTATCAAATGTAAGATGATGAGCCTAAAGGACTGGACTACATCGACTACTCCTAGCTTAAGGATAGACAGGAGCAAAGTGGTTGGTGAGCGTGTTCACCACTTACTTCACTTATTTGGGGAGTTGCACCAGCCGGAGCCAACGGGTTGGTCGCTGACGAAATCTCAGCACAGATACAGAAGGCTCGTTTGGCATTTGTCACTAACTTTCACTATCTCTGACTTAGTTGACGTGATATCCTGCTAGCTGTCGACCAAACGATGAGAGTAAAGCTCAGCAGCAGTTCCCTCCGTCCTCCTTTATGGATGATTGTGAAACATGACCATTGAAACTGGAAGATACGAAGAGGCTTGCTGGATGTCTTTGATCACAGCTGTCTGGGTTCTATCTCCCATATTACGTAGTGGTATAATAAGGTGAGCAATATAAGTTTGGTGAGGCATCGGTCGAGTGAGTGCTAGGAAAAGATGAGGGGAAATCAATCGACGAGGTTGTGAAACAGTTGCACCGATTGAGACAGATGATTAGGACATGTGTTAGGCATGCATGCCTAGACATCCATCGTCTTCGTCGACAATGGCCGATATTAGCTGACTAAGATAGCATCAGGTTGGAGAAGAGATAGCATATGATGGTCAGACAAAAATATGACTTCATCAGTCAGAGAAATCCAAAACAGTTAGTTTAAGCCAGCCAGGCAGTCACCCAGCCACATAGGGTGAGGTGTAGACTTCCTGACTGGTTGGGGTCCTCAGGATGACGAAAACCAGTTGCTGACGACATTTGATGATATGGCTGACTGGCGCAGATGCATTCACACTTTGTGATTTGTCATATCCAATAAAATTCTATTCTTCTTCCATATTACTGTTTATAAATAAGGGGAGCATACTTTGATTATTTAACTAGCAAAAGGAAAATAAGGGATTAAGTGAAGTTTGCTTACATGCATTTTACTCACCTTAATAACTACATGTGAATTATAATCCTCTGGAAAACGCCAAGATGTTGTCACATCACCGAATTCGAGACCTAAAAACAACAATAATAATAATAAAACCGAAAATATATTGGTTAATTAGGTAAAAGCGTCAGTGGCAAAGCGGTTGAGTGATCGCTAACCACGCTTCATGTGGTTCGGGGTTCGATCTCCAGTAAAGAGAGGAGGTTGGACATGAGGTTAGCAACCCCATCCCGTAGAAATAAACACCACTGGCTACCGAAACTTCAAAGGTCTAGCTTGAAGGCGTCCTATGTTCCAGCACTGGGGACGTAAAGGAATAATAAACTGTAAAGCCCGAATAAATCACAGTATTAAAAACAGACTATATCTCTCTCTAGCTTCTTCAAACATAAAAACTCGTTAGTAAAGGGAATAAAATTCGCATTTGAATCAGAAAATGAACAAGGAGAATCAGCTATGAAGGTAGATTGTAAAATAAAATGCACAGAAGAAGGTAAACTGCACACTGGTGTTAATAAAAAGCCAACGCATTCTAACAGATATTTAAATTTTAATTCATCTCATCCGTCATCAACCTGTGAAGGAAGGCTTGGTTAAGTGTCTAACAAACCGATTAGTAGCACTGAGTAGTACAAGAAAAGACTTATATGATGAAACAAGACAGACAGAAGAATAGCTGGTTGGTGTTAAATAACTAACCATCCAATAAAATTCATTAGGAAGATCAAAAAAGGCCAAAAGTAAAATAAAAATAATTGTGAAACTAGTAACGATAACATAAAGAGAGAATATAAGGCATCTAGAGTTCTACCATATCAGGAGGGGACATCTGAGACCCTACGTAGGATTCTTAATAAAGCAGGAATTTGGGTGGCATTCAAACCGGCAAACTCACTCGGGGACAAGCTCTGTAGGTTAAAGGACCCAGTTGACCCAATAAGGCAAAATAATATAATTTACAAAATCACTGCAAGACTCTTCAAACCTTTAGAAATTGACGTCGTACACAAACCAACAAAGTTACTTCACTCAATTATATGTAAACCAAAAGACTCAATAACGAAAGAAGATAAAACCAACATCATCTACAAAATAAATTGTAACAACTGCGAAAAATACTACATTGGCCAAAGTGGACATCCCCTTCGTCTTCCTCGCATCCATGAACACAAACTAGCCGTCAAAAGATATGATATCCACTCGCTCGCTCAAATCCCTGCACAGACAACCACACACATAGTTTCGATTGGGAAAACGTTCAAATATTAGACAGAGGAAACACCAAGAATATTAGAGAGATACACAAAATTTACCAACCGATAAGAAGGAAACCTCACACACACACACACAAAGGGTCAAAGCTCAAGTCAAGGAAACAATCAGCACCAATACCAATACAAGCAGCCTAGAGGGTGTGAAAACACACAAAAACAACCATTCACATTCAAGTTCACCCACCGGGAGAGATGTTTAATAAACTCGTGGAGAAATCTAAAAGCTCACTTCAATTCAAATTGAAGTATGTTGTGAAGATGTTGCTTAGTATGACAATATTGAAAGCTTCACAAATTAACTATCCAGCTAGCTCAGAGAACACAACCACATCAAAATTTACAAAATACCCTGCAATGACTGTCACATCAACTATATAGGCCAAACTAGTAGGTCGGAGTCAGTCAGATTGTCGGATGATAAGAATCCAGCGAAAGTTAGAATGATTGATTTCACAAGAATAAGTAATTTAGAGAAAGAACTCAACAGCAGCACTGCCTGCATTAACACACAATCACACAATAGGGTGGGAGAGGGTTAAAATTCTAAGAAGTAATATAGGTAGGTTGTCGGAGAGAGAGGTTGATTACTGAATCTTTGATCATAGAATCTACCCCCAACACGTGCGATTGGAGTGACTTATCAATCATACCAGAAATATGGAAAATATTCCTACCAATCATTAAATCAAGCGAGGAAAAATTGTGGAATTATATAAACGAAGTTAGGAATTTGTGTGAGTAGTGCCTTGATATGATCATGAGCAGCCATAAATTGTGCTCGAAACATGGTCATCCGTAAATATTACTGCATAACACGATGTGAGACTTTATCAAAATAAAGTATTCTACCTTAGTGCACAAGTTCTATTTTTATATCAGTTGAAGTCAAGCCTAATATCAACAAAAACAACGATTGTTCGCCTGTAGTACCTTGGGACAGTGTTTTAGAAGCTGACGAAGGTTGCGAATACATGACTAATGCATCCACAGACTGGAACGAAACGCAGACTGCTCTCCATGAATCGTTTCCTCGCATGTGCTGAAGCACAGTCTGTAAAGTGAGACAGCAGTCAGTACTTTTAATCGTGACTGGTAGCAAACTTATGGTTGCCACACACACACACACACACACACACATTAAGTAGGCCCTTTTTAAAAACGGGCATGATAATCACTCGTCAGCATCTTCGAAAAGAGACGGTGGTAAGTTGTCTTAGCCGGTTGCCTTGCAGCCTTTTAATGCCTGGAGTTACTTCCGAACCTCCGCTTTGTTTGGTCGGTGGTCGCCACTAACTGACCATGAAGGACTTAGCTGGCAATATGAATGATGTAGGATGTTAGCACACACTGTTTAGTCAACTGAACTGTCACTCAAAGTTCTCTGTCCAGCATTTTAGGAACTGTCTAAAGTTGTTAGTTGGTGTAACAACATCTGCCCTCATAGACCATCTCACTTTCAGTATCTCGGACAAGAGGCTTAACTCACCATTTGCATAACAGTTAAATACTACACTGGTTGAAGAAGCATCAAAGATAGGACTCCAGGTGAACATAGACAAGACGGAGGTCATGAAAATAACCAACCAACAACAACAGTAGCAACATCCAACACCAATCACCATCAACGGGAGGGATTTGAAAGAAGTTACTTCATTCACTTATCTACGGAGCATTGTCTCAACTACAGGAGACAGGAACGGACGAGGATGTCAAATCGAGAATTGGGAATGCGAGAAACACATTCATCAACTTAAAACCAATCTGGAAATCCTCCTCACTCAGCATCAACAACAAAATGATTCGGATTTTCAATACAAACGTCAAGTCAGTCAGTTCTTCTATACGGATGGATCAGAAACTTAGCGGCGGGTCACAAAGAATATTTCCAAAAGCCTGTTGCAGATCTTTATCAACAACTGTCTTCACTCTATACTGAAGATCAGATGGCTGGAAAGAACAAGAACCAACAAGAAACTATGGGAACAAACAAAACAAGAACCAATCGCCCAACAAATATGCAGGAGAAAGTGGAGATGGATTGGACACTCACTGGCTGAGGAGGCCGCTGGGTGACATCGCGCGTCAGGCCAGTGCTCGAGTGGAACCCGAAATGGAAGCGGCGAGTGGGACGTCCAAGAGTGACATGGGGATCGTGTGAAGAGGAATTGAAACAGTATGGATTAACATGGATGCAAGTGAAAAGTACAGCAGAAGACAGAAGCAAGTGGAGACGTGCAGTTGAAGCCCTATGTTCCACTAGGAACCCAAGGGAACAATAATAATAATAACAAGCAGCTACATATCAAAATATCATCAATTAAGGTAATAAACCATCACAAACCTTGACTCAATTTTAATCGTACAAGATCCATTGTTGCAATTGCATCTTCAGCTGATGAATGCCCACCTTTACCAGTTTGAATCATTCGGCTATATATTATTTAGATGGGTGTAAAAAGTTAGAAATTAAAAAAAATAAAAATATGCTATTAAACAAACACATAGATTTCTTTGTACTTATAACTATTATTATTATTGTTATGAGAGAGAGAACCACTAGATGACTTGACTGAGGGATTGGTTTCAACAAAAAACTACTTTGCAAAGATGTACAGCAACGGTTGAGTTGCCACACTCGTTCCATGTAGCATACAAAGCAGAAGAAAGATAATAATAAACAGAGGTGTGAGGGAAAAGAGTAGTATTGTAACGACAGAAGACAACAGATATTTATAGATAAAGCAATAAGAAGACGTAATTTGTCCGAATCATGTACTCTTGTATTTGCGCAACACCTTTCGAACAATCTGATCACACAGGGACTTGTCATAGGAATATATATGAAATTAATAAAGAGGTAAGAGGTGAGAAAAAAATAGACTTAGGTCAATTTTAAAGGACATATTCAAGGTCAAAGTAACAATGAAGACCACTAAACCAAATAACAGAAGTAATAGTACATCTGCTATGGTGTCAAAACAAAATTTACCAAGGAAGGTTTAATGTGATGACAAATTGTTTTTGAACGCATAAAGGTGGTTTAAACTTCCTAATTGACAGCTAGAGCTTCCACAAACTTTAGGATACGCCCCAAACACGTTTTATAGATAGGTTTAAAAGATCTGTTAACGTCAATTTTATGACCTGTTTCTATAATATGTTTTGCAATAGAGGAGCTAGGTCTCCTGTTCTCACCATTAATAGGTTCTGAAGATTCCATTTGTTTCGGGAGCCATTTAGGAATATGCCTTGAGGCCAGCTCTCACTTGGAGAGATCGACGACTCCTCCCTCCTATGTATGTGTGTCCACACGTACATTCAAATTGGTAAATACATAGGGAGGACTCATCGATCTCTTCAAGTAAGGGCTTCAGAGCATATTCCTAAATGGCTCCCGAAACAAATGGAATCTTCAGAACCTATTAACGGTGAGAACAGAAGACCAGGCTCCTATATTGCGAAACATATTATGGAGATAGGACATAAAATTGACGTTAGCAGATCTTTGAAACATATCTACAAAACGTGTTTGGGGCGTATCCTAAAGTTTGTGGAAGCTCTAGCTGTCAATTAGGAAGTTTAAACCACCTTTATGCGTTCAAAAACAATTTGTCATCACATTAAACCTTCCTTGGTAAATTTTGTTTTGATATCATAGCAGATGTACTATTACCTCTGTTATTTGGTTTAGTAACTGATCTTCATTGTTATTTTGCCCTTCAATGTGTCCTTTTAACTTGACCTAAATTTATTTCCTTACCTCTCACCTCTTTATTAATTTCATATATATTCCTATGACAAGTCCCTGTGTGATCAGATTGTTCGAAAGGTGTTGCGCAAATACAAGAGTACATGATTCGGACAAATTACGTCTTCTTATTGCTTTATCTAAATTCATAAAGGGAACTAATTGTTTTAGATTTTTATGTGCATTATTATTAGCGTGATTGTTAGCACAGAGGTAACGTTTTCTGATTGGTCGTTTTCTTGCTGAAGGTTATTCGGTCATCTCTTTGTTGCAGTTTCTTAGACAGTCCGGTGATATACCTGCTAATCGTATCCGCCCACGCTAAGTCTGCTGTGATTGATTGTTAAGTTCTACAAGGCTAAGCTTTGTTCTTGTTTTTTTCTCTCATGACCCCAATTTGGGATGCAAACATTCACGTAAATTGCTGTCTACCAATTTTGGCTAGCAGACAGCTCTCACCACAGTATAATATGGAAGAACCAAAGCTTTATTAAATACGACAAGTCACAAAGAATGAATGCGTCTGCGTCAGACAGCCATTGAGCCAGCCATACCACCAATTGTCTCCAGCCGCCGTCATTGGTTCTTACCATCCCGATGACACCAACGAACCAGTCAATCAGGAAGTCTACACCACCCTACATTCCTTGCTGGCTGGCTAGCTGGCCTGCTTAAACTAACTGTCTTGGATTTCATTGACGGATGAAGCCATGTTTTCATTTGACCACCACCAGCTAACTCTTTTCTAACTTAATGCTATGTTAGCCAGCTAACATAGCCGATTGTAGAGGAAGGCGAGATATATATCCTAACCATCTCTCTCTCAATCGGTGAAGCTGCTTCAGAACCTCATCGATTGATTTCCCTCCCTCCTCCCTACATAGAGAACTCACTCGACCGATGCCTCACCAACTCAATACTGCTCACTTTATTATACTACCACGTAACATGGAAGACAGAATGCAGACAGCTATGCTCAAAGACAGCTAGCTAGCCTGTTTTTTCATTATTACTATTATTTCCTTTAATTCCTAGAGGATCATAGGGCTTCAGCCGTGCGTTTCCATTGCGTTCGGTTCTCTGCTAGTGTCTTTACCTGGCTCCATGTCTGCCCACACACACGCTTTCATCTCCTCTTCACATGACCTCCTCCATGTTACCCTTGCACTGACGACCAACTCGCCGCTTCCCTTTCGAGTTCCACTCGAGCGATGGCTTGTCTAGTGATGTCACTTGATGGTTTCCTCAGAGTATGGCGGCCAATCCACCTCCATTTCTTCCTGCCTTTTGTTTCACAATCGGTTCCTGCTGTGTTGGTTCGCTCCCAGAGATCTCTATTGCTGATCTTTTCTGGCCGGCTATCTGATCTTGAGTGGTATTGAGCGAAGACAGCTAGCTGTTAATGAAGGTCTGTAGTTTGTTTGGGATGCTCTTTATGACGCGCCATCTCTGATCCGTATAGTATTAGTAGTAGTTTTTTCATGTTTTCCATATATTCAAAGGCCATGTCTCACAGTCAACCACAAAGGAGAATGGAGCGAACTGCTGAGAAGGGCACACAGTCCCATCAGTTTGTCTCTCCAGCTCTTTACACAACTTAAAACTAAAAATCAAAGATTCCATGACTCGGTGCCCTACTTATTGTCTCGTAAATGTAACATCATTGTCCCAATTATTTATCAAATTGCAATTTATACAGGTCGGTCGAGGTATCAAGTAGATACATCAGTGACTTCTCGTCTTTAAAGGCCGATTGCACTGACTGCTGACTGACTATTCTGTTGTAAACTAAAAAACGCATTACAAGTAAATAAACCGACAAAAAATCCTGCATATCATCAAATCATATTTCAAAATAGGCAAGTAAATTAAAATAAACAACGGGAATCAATTCACATACCCAAGAAAATGTTCAGTAAGAAAGCGAAGACGTGCTTTACCTGCTCGATTGCCTTTCACATTATACACAACACTTGTATCAATCAAGTAAGGATGAAAGATCTGCAAAAAAAACGGATAGAGGGTGAGAAGAGGAGTGTGTAAAATAACACTTAGCAAAGGTGAATAGTACTCAGTAGAGAAGAGAAAGAACAGAAAATGGCCTTTAACTCTATTGGTGGAGACATTTCGACAATAAATTAGTGTTATTTGATCACGATATGACATTAGTTAGAAAATCAGGGGGTGTTAGGAATTCTTTATCAGTACACATCCACTGAGGTTCTCTAACCCCAGGACCTTCCGGTTACAAGGCGAACTCTTAGACTCTTCGACAACTGGGACTAAATCCAAAGGCCCATGAATTTACGATATATACAGCTCAGCCACCCCAGCCGACGTCATCGGGGAGTAAATTTTCTCTTGTCTGACTTGGTAGATTCCGACCCTTATGATTTCCCACCAGAAATCCAGGTAACTTCCTGTACAGAGTCAGTCGCTAGTGAGCGCTAGATCAATTTTCAAGTGTTTGTTTTCATGGATTTGAAACAGTCGCGTCCAGTACTCTCTGGTTTTCCAATTCTTTTCTAGCTGATATTAGCTTGAGTTCATACCTACAACCAATCAATACTTGAAAATGGTGTGATTCGGTTGACAATGCTTTGGCATTTTGAATGATGGGTGCCGCTAGCATTCGAGTGTCAGTAGGAGACATTGTCACTCACTCACTCACTCACTCATTGGAGTTACACGCACCTTCACCTGACGAGTCCAAAACAGGACGAAACACGTGTCCTGAATTGCACGGCTGGCATTCAACAACCAAATGCCAGTCTGATGTTGTTTTTTCTATTACCACACAGAAGTGGAACCAACTGAGTAAAAGAAAGTCAGGAAAATGTTACCCCCGCATAGCATATAAAGAGTAGCATCTCTATATAAGTAGTTGGAGAGCATTCACTCACTCACAACTAGTAATGACTGGCAGTCAGACCAATGCACTTCATTGGTTTGGGTGAGGAGGGGGAGTACATGAGCAATGTGCTTGAACAGGTACACCTGAAGCAGTTGAATTATGACTAGCTAGCTACTCAGGATGACGATGCTTTTCGCGAATCCAGCTTGTTCAAGGCACAGTTTTGTATCTAGAGCATCCTTTAGGCTCTTCAAAATGATATGAATTAATATTTTGCTTTGTGGTGAATTCTTAGGGAGTGAGAAGAAGTGAGGAATACACAGCATTGATTGATAAGAAGACTCTAGAAGATCTGGATTTCGCGGGTGGATGGTTTATGTTTCATGTCGCATACACAAACTCGAAGACTTTCAGGCGAAGACCAACAAACTGGCTGAAGCAGGCAAAGAAGACAGGACTCCCAGTGAACATAGAGAAGACAGAGGTGATGAAGATAATCAACCAACCAACCGAACAACAGCAACAACAACCAGAACCAATCAACATCAACGGGAGAGATTTGATAGAGCTTACTTCCTTACTTCCTTATCCATCCAGGAGGCAGGGTTTCAACCACAAGCAGTCGGACAACACGGATGAAGATGTCAGCACCGGCCAGAATCGGAATTGCAAGATACACCTTCATCAACCTGAAACAAGTTTGCAAATCTTCTGCGCTCACTCAGCATAAAGAACAAGATTCGGATGTCCAACACAAATGTGAATTCGATCAGTCAGTTCTTCTTTGTGTCAGAAACTTGACCAGTAGTGCATCACGAGAAGGATTTCCAACAAGTTACAGACTTCTGTCAACAGCTGGCTGGCTCCATACTGAAGATCAAATGGCCGGCCGACTGGCTAGAAAGAATTAGCAACAAGAAACTCTGCAGTGGAACAAACCAACCGACCGACCAACCAAGAGCCGATTGCTCAACAAATAAATATGAAGGAGAAAGTGTAGACGGATTGGTCGGGTATACATTGAGGAGGCTGTCGAATGACATTGCGTGCAATGCAGACCATCGCCCCAGTGGAATTCCAATGGGATCGGAAACCACGAGTGGAAGAGATCTTTCGGGAGGAGGAGACAAAAGATTATAGGCGATTGTGAGGTCGGCCAGATGAAGATGACAGCAGAAAAAAAAGAACGAAGTGGAGATGTGTTGTTGAAGCCCTATGTTCCATAGGGTTCCACATCGGTTACATTGTAGACATAAAATAATCTCATTGAACAATTTATTTTACCTTGGGCTGGCCAAATGCCAGCCAATCAGAACAATGTATTCTTCTCTGACCTAGATAAAGTTTAATTTCGCTAAGAATGTATAAATATGACGCACTTTCGATTGATAAAAGTCAGTTATCCAGTCTCTTATCTTCTCTCCCGTTACAAGACTAATTATAAAAATGGTATATATAAGTCTACAGGATAATACGATGGTGAATATAAGTGGGATTCTATTCCAAAGACTTTCAAGGAGTATACGAAGAACATTTTATGCAGCACACCTACGTTTGTCATTCTCTAGCCGACGAGTGATTGGGACGCAAACGAAGGATAAGCTTGACAGTTTTGCCACATCTATGTGCATTTATCAATTCAACTACACCTGCGGTGACAGTTATGTTGGGCACACTGCTACTAGACAGCTTAGCCAACGTGTTAGTGAACATCTCCCATCGTGGTTTGGCAAAGGACAGACAAAAACAATCTGTACCACAATTTCGTCACACTTAATTGATAGTGGTCATGTTATCGAGAAAACGAGAGCCTTCAAAGTAATTCATCGTATTACACCGAATCTTTCCAATAGACTTCGTATTCGTTTACTGCACACAGCTGAGGCAGGCGATAGGCATTCGAATGACTATTAAACCTAAACTATGCATTCAAAAAACGTTCGTACAGCCATTATCCCTTCTTTGTTGGCCTATTAAGACATAATCAACTAATGACTTCTACACCACCCCTTGTTTATATTTTCAACCCCTTTCTTATCATCCCTTAATCTTATCACATCTTCATTATAAACGTGTTTCATTTCCTTCCCTTACAATCAATCTAACATTACTTGATAGGTTCATTTGTTTTTACTGACCTTTATCGACTACTTCCACCTGAACAGTTGTTTGTTTAATCATGCTGTTTTTCACTGCTAGTGTTATCACAGATTGCCTCACGTTTTCCTCCTTATTATTGATAAAACCACTATTATTATTATTATCATTACTATTATTATGACTGATTGCACAATTTATATTCACCATCGTATTATCCTACAAACAAAACACCATGATTGGTTTATATTGGAATATTTATTTGTACACTTATATATATTGCAGTTAGGCCTGATGAGATCTAATTGAAGGCACAATATTGTTCGCTTAAATGTGTTGTTCTAAATTTTACTGTGGGAATATTCAATATATATATATATATACATACATATATATATATAAGTTAGAGAACCATTGAAAACCAGGGAGTACTGGACAGCTGCTGTTTCATCCTAGTTTGGGAATCATCGGTAGTACGCACCCACTGGGATTCGAACCCAGGACTTTCGTAAAAACATAACAAACCCTTACAAACCAAACTATAGAAAATTAATCTGATGCTCGCTAGTGACTTGCTACAGGATGGAGTTTTCTGGAGTTCTAGTGAGAAGTCGTGACCAGTGAGGTCCAATTAGATGTCACGTGTGTGGATGGATGTCCCACCAACGACAATGGTTGGGGTCGAGCTAAAATCACGAATTGGTAGAAGTTAGAATTCATGCAACGACCATTGGATCGGGTCCCAGTGGCTGAATGGCATACGAGCTTGCCTTGTAACCGGAAGGTCCTGGGTTCGAATCCCAGTGGGTGCGTACTGCCGATGATTCCCAAACTAGGATGAAACAGCAGCTGTCCAGTACTCCCTGGTTTTCAATGGTTCTCTAACTGATATCCATCCGTGATCAACTCGTAAAAACATTACAAACCCTTACAAACCAAACTATAGAAAAATACATATATAAGTCTGTATAAGACAGTAGAACTCACTTTCATTGCTTCTAAATCATTTCCAATTGAATGACCAACTAGAATAGCATCACCTGGTAGAACTTCATCCAACTCTCGTTGTACATCTGCCAGTGTTGTGTCGATCGATGCAAGCATATCTCTGGTAATACCACTAAATCTATATACATATATGATGATTATAATGAACATGGGAAGAAAAAACAAAAAAGGGAAACAGTTATACATTATGTCTATGTGTATGCGTATATATAATCACCGAAAACAATATCTGACTGACTAACTGGTTTCAACATAGAACTACTTTCTTTGCACAGATCTACACCACTTCCAATTGCCACAATCCCTCCATGTAGTAGTACACAAAGCAAGCGAAGAGAGTAGTTATTATTATTGTTTCCTTTAATTCCTAGAGGAACATAGGGTTTCAGCCACACGTCTACATTGCGTTCGGTTCTCTGCTAGTGTCTTTACCTGGCTCCAAGTCTGCCCACACGTTTTCGTCTCCTCTTCACATGACCTCCTCCAAGTCACCCTCACCCTTGCACTGACGACCAACTCGCCGCTTCCCATTCAGTCGGGTTCCACTCTAGCAATGGCTTGTCTAGTGATGTCACTCGATGGTTTCCTCAGAGTATCGCCAATCCATCTCCATTTCTTCCTGCCTATTTGTCTCACAATTGGTTCCCGGTTGGTTCGCTCCCAGAGATCTCTGTTGCTGATCTTTTCTGACTGGCCATCTGATCTTCAGTATTGAGCGAAGACAGCTAGCTGTTAATGAAGGTGTGTAGTTTGTTTGAGATGCTGTTTATGACGCACAGTGCAAGTCTCTGATCCGTATAGTAGCACTGACTGACTTCACATTGGAGTTGAAAATCCGGATGTTATTTTTGATGCTGAGTGCTGACTGTTGACCTCCACACAGTCTCGAGAGTAGTGAAAGCTTGTCTTGCTTTCCTGATCCTTGCTTTGATATCCTCATCAGTCCTGTCCGCCTGTAGTTGAAACGATGCTACCCAGGTAGGTAGGTAAAAGAGGTTGTTTCTTTCAGGTTCCCCCCATCTATACTTATTGTTGTTGTTGCTGTTCGCCAGGAATCTTCATCACCTCTGTTTTCTCTATGTTCACCTGAAGGAAGTCCTATCTTCGATGCTTCTTCCATCTCTAACTTGTTGCTTTTCGCTTGCATATCTTCCAGTTTGTGGGAAATCAGACATATGTCATCGACGAAGTCCAAATCCTCCAAGTTTTTTGTGTAAGTGAGTGCATTTTATGCCTGTTTCACCATTGCCCGCCACTGTTTGTCGCATTATCCAGTCTACTGCAATCAGGAAAATCATTGGCGATAGTAGGCAGCCTTGTCTTACTCCTGTCCTCACTTCGAAGGATTCCGTAAGTTTCCGAAGAGAGTAAAGAGAGACAGAGAGAGATGGAGAGATAATACACAGAAGTGTGAGGCAAAAGGAATAGTAATATAGAAGGACAATAGTTTATTGGATATGACTGCACCACCAGCCAGCCATTGAGAACGATCACTTCGAGCCAGCCATATCAACAATTGTCTCCAGCCACCGTCATTGGTTCTTACCATCCGGAGGAGGAGGACTCCAACCAACCAGCTAGTCAGGATAGTCTACACCTCCCTGTGTGGCTGGCTTTAACTAACTGCTATGGATTTCATTGACTGATGAAGCCATATTTTGGTTTGACCAATATATGTGCTAGCTGGTTTCCAACCTGATCATTCACCCACCATCCATCCTATGTCAGCGGCTAACACGTTTCCCATTGTCGAGGAGGGGGCGATGGATGTCTAGGAATGCATGCGTAACACATATCCTAACCATCCCTCTCAATCGGTGCAGCTGCTTCATCACGTCGTCGATTGATTTCCCTCTCTCCCTCCTCCTTACCTAGCACCTAACACGGGAGATAGAACACAGATGGCTATGATCAAAGGCAGCTAGCTAGCTAGCTAGCCGACCTTTTCATGTCTTCCACTTTCAGTGATCGTGATGTTCCATTTACAGTGAGTGATAAAGGAGGACACAGGGAACTACTGAGCAGTACACACCTCCTTTGATCTAAAACAATATTGAACAGAATTTGTGGTGAAAGCCAGAGTTGAACACACGGCAGACCATTTACACATTATTCAAAGGACTACATCATCAGATAGAATACTTCAAACTATACAACCGTTTAACAAACATGCGTGAAAGTGTGTCTGTATAATGACCTATAAATTACTTCTGGTGCTGAAAGGTTAGTGATACCTCACTCCTTGATAGTAGTAGTAGCAGCAGCAGCAACCACGGAAGATGACGATGGTTGTTAATGATTTTGTCTAGTCAGTGTGAAGATGTGACTTGTTGGCTTCCTAGTCGGAGAATTTTTTTCGTCAACATGAGCAGATTGAGTGAAAACGTGGGTATCATGCCGTTTAAATTGGGTAAAATGGGGGTATTTCTCGAAATGACATCGGTGATGTAGGAAAAACTGGGTAGTCTTTTCAAAAATATGGGAAAAGTGGGTATTTTATGTTTCATTTCATCAACCTTTTGTCAACATCTTTACCGATCAAAATTGCCAGCATTCTCCGACTGGATTAAGTACTCAATTTTAAGCCGATAGTATACCGGTTCGAGTTCCAGTCCATTTATTTCGACCTGAGTAACTAGCTAGTGGCACCAACCCTCTCAGCCGCCAGATAAGATGTACAGGAAACATCTGAGCTTGAATATTCAACGATGTCATTGCATTTAGAATTTAGTTTAGCAACATTAATGACGAAATAGTGGAATACAAAAGAGGTAGAATAGCAACAAACTAGTGTGAAAACACAAAGCAATTTTTGTATGAGATAAGCTTAGAGAGCTTTTCAAAATTGTTTTGTCTGACCTTTCAAAACCGAAAGATATGAAGCTATATGACGATACCCGTCATTATCACCACTTTCGATTTCAAGTTGTGTATGGTAATTCCATTAAACGCTTAGGTAGAATCATCTTTTATACATCTCATAAACAGTTTACCGTTTTCTTTTCTTTTCCGAAGAGGATGCAAGATACTAAGACAAGTTACAGAAACTTGTGTCCTACTTTCCATGAATTTAATGCCATGAAAATTTCCGTGTGCATGTATGTTAGAATTCAGATACTCAAGAGCATGTGTTTCATGCATACGACTATGAGCCACACCAAATGCGTAACATCTGATTTGTACTACCCAGCTGTCAAGACTGAGGTTAGTAAGGTGGGAATTCGAATCCAACAGTCAAACTAGGGTTTATACCAAATATACTACGACTCATCATACAAATTAGGAACATCTGCCACCACTAACGAATTGGCACGGTCGAGAGGAGGTGGGTAAACTTAGGTCTTACTTTTGAAATGCCCACACATGTAGCCACGAGTTCATAAACGTCCCCCTGCAAGGTAAGTCCTATTCACCAGCTTTACACGGCGACAGTGCCCCTCACAACAAATTGAAACGGAGAATTCGAATGTCATGTGCTTACCACCGGACTGGTACACATGCAAGTTGGTCTATCTAGAGGAGTTGGAAAACCCTGATTCCAACTAAACCCATGGTGTACATAGGCTCCATAATCCGCAGGACTCGAATAGCGTATGAACTCGTTTCAGTCACCGACAGCCATGAGAACACAACTCCTGAAGTTGCTCCATTGCCCTGTGGACCAGATTTCAAGTCAAAAGCTCTGGGGAAGGCTTCTTCAGACAACCACCTATATTTCTGTCTCGGCGTCCGCGGGCAATATCTTAGCCCTCACACAAACTATGAAAATATTTATGTACGTGTAAAACTTGGGCACTGTGGTAGTAAATAATTCCATATTAGTTTGTTTATTAGATGTATCACACAGTGAAGAAAGAGTATTATTATTTACTGGATGACGTTTCGAACAAAATTTATTGTTCATAATCATCTCATCAATTATAATCACACGACTTACAAACTTGAGTTTTGTAGTTTTCTTTGTTCTCTCCTATTTGTTGTCGTTGGGGTAGTAGAATTTTCCAGATATCTGGGACAAGTGTTGAATCATTCCTATTACACGTATTCTCCTCAGTTGATTCGATAAACAAAGCTTCTGTTATCAGTCTTCCCCACTCGCCACCCTGAGACATTAGATTTTAAAACTGTCATCTTATCTCATCCATCCTATTGTACCGTTGTGTGTAATTGCATTTAGTGTGGTGCTATATCTGAACTATTCCCTGGATTTCTTATCTTATATGGGTCAACTAATCTAGATTTTCCTAGGTTTCTATGCTCGACTAGTCTGACTACACCTGTTCTACTAGTTTGACCTATGTATTTGACATCACTGACAATCATTGCAGGGTATTAGATAAACTAAATTGTTTTGTTTTAAAGGCTCCACAGAATTGATTCCTTAACCGACAAAGCTTGTTTCTAATTGAGTTTGTGGTTGGTTTGAATGCCAACAGCCACTTTTATTCCTGACTTGTTAAGAATTCTGCGTAAGGTGGTTTCCGGGGTTTCTTCCTTGTATGGAATTACTACTGATGATTTAGATTCCTTATTGTTGGTGTTGTCTTGCTCATATTTGACATACATGTCGTCATTAATATTATTATTATTATCACTATCACTACTATCATTATTTATTTTATTTTTACTTTTCCTTACGCATTTCCTGACTAATTTATCCGGGTAGTTATTAAGTTTCAGGGCTTCTTTTATGTGTATCACTTCCTGTCTTAGATTTTCTTTGGTACTACTTAGTTTTTTGTGCTCTGTTACTTAAACACTTAACCTCGCCTAGATTACTAGGTCACTAGTATTCTAGCCGGTCCCAAGCCCGGATAAAGAGGGAGGGTTGGGGCGTGGTGCTAGTAACTCCACCCCCAAAACTTAACCAAATTGCTACTAGAACTTCAACGCACAAATATATTCAAAATTCTAAAATTACAAATAGTGACCTTATTTTTCGCTGGAATCGGGGAAGTGAAATGACGCGGGCTGGTGAAAGCCTTCGGGAAGCCAGTCAGCCGATGTGCCTTCTTTCGATGAGAGCAAAAATAAGGATGGGGACGTGGAATATTCGTGCAATGTACGAAACTGGAAAGGCTGCTCAGGTAGCCGCAGAAATGAGGAGATATAAAATAGAAGTGTTGGGAATCTGCGAGAGCAGATGGAACGGATGTGGAAGGAGCCAACTATCAACTGGAGAGACAATAATCTACTCCGGTCACCCAGAGGACAATCACGAGTACACCGAGGGAGTAGCCATCATGATGTCACCAACAGCGGCTAAAGCTCTCATGCAGTGGGAACCAATCTCCTCCAGGATAATAACAGCCAGGTTCAACTCAAAAGGAAAGAAGGTTACAATCATTCAGTGCTACGCGCCTACAAACGCCTCAGAACATGAGAAGAAGGAGGATTTCTACAGTCAACTACAAACAGTAATGGACAACGTCCCAAAGAGCGATATCAAAATCCTGATGGGCGACATGAATGCGAAACTGGGAGGAGACAATACAGGAAGAGAACTCACCATGGGTCGTGAGGCCCTCGGTGAAATGAACGAAAATGGCGAACTCTTCTCAGACTTCTGCGCCTTCAATGATTTGGTGATTGGTGGCAGTGTGTTCAAACACAGGGATATACAAAAGGCGACATGGATTTCACCAGATGGACACACCAAAAACCAGATAGACTTCATTTCAATCTCAAGGAAGTGGAGACGGAGCCTACTGGACACAAGATCGAGGAGAGGAGCAGATGTGGGTTCAGACCACTATCTAGTACAAGGGACTTTCAAGGTGAAGCTAAATGCCTCGAGGATAGCTGGGGATAGGCCACAATGCAAGTCCAACACTCACAAACTGAAGGACACAATCACACAGGACATTTTCACTGCAACTGTCAGAGCAAAGCAGGAAACACTACGTGGCACCACTGAGGAATCATCCGTGGAAGACCATTGGAACTCTCTGAAGGTAATTTTCAACGAAACGTGCTCAACGGTTTTAGGAAGAAAGAAGAAACAAGACAAGGAATGGCTCTCAACAGACACTTGGAAACTAATAGAGGAGAGGAGGAAGGTGAAAGAGAAAATGATTCAATGCAAAGATGGACAAGAGAAAGAGACGCTGAACTCAACTTACACAGCACTGGACAAAGAAGTGAAGAAGAGTGCCAGGAAGGACAAAAGACAATTCTACGACAACCTGGCTACTGAAGCTGAGAAGGCAGCAGGCAAAAGGGACCCGAGGACACTATATCAGATAACCAAGTCTCTATCCGGGAAGAGATCAACACAAGTGAAACCTATAAAAGACAGCCAAGGGAACCCAATTACCAAAGAAGAAAGACAGATTAAACAATGGGCGGACCACTTCAAAGGACTCTTGAATCGACCACCACCTACAACCCGTCCAGTAATACCAACAACAGCACGTACACAACTGCAAGTTGACACCAATCCTCCAACGAAAACTGAAGTCATGAATGCAATCAAGCTTCTGAAAGCTGGAAAAGCAGCTGGACCAGATGGAATACCCCCGGAAGCACTGAAAGCGGACCCAGAAACGACGGCAGATATGCTGACTCCATTATTGCAAAAAGTCTGGAAGGAGGTAAAGGTGCCTACTGACTGGAGGAAAGGTTACCTCGTGAAACTACCTAAGAAAGACGACTTAGGACTCTGCAAGAACTGGCGAGGAATCATGCTCCTGTCGACGCCAAGTAAAATCCTGAGTCGCATCATCCTGGAGAGAATAAAGGACGCACTGGATACAGAACTAAGACCAGAACAAGCTGGATTCAGGAAAGGCAAATCATGTTCTGACCAAATTGCAACTCTACGCATCATCATCACAGAACAAAGCATGGAATGGCAATCAAATCTCTACCTCAACTTTATAGACTTTGAGAAGGCCTTCGACAGTGTTGACCGCGAAGTGATTTTGAAACTACTCGAGTACTACGGCGTACCCCAAATATTCATCAACCTTATTCAACAACTGTACGACAACGGCACATGTCAAGTGACCCACAACGGAAAACTCAGCGAAGCGTTTGGAGTAAACACAGGAGTCAGACAAGGGTGCTTATTATCACCAATGATATTCCTAATTGTGGTGGACTGGATTATGCGTCAGACAGTGGGAAACGAGAAGATAGGGATATCCTGGACCGACGTGAAGAACCTAGAAGACCTGGATTTTGCGGATGATTTATGTTTGATGTCACACAAAATCGAAGACTTACAAGCAAAAACCGACAAACTGGTCGAAGAAGCAGCCAGCGAAGACAGGACTCCAGGTGAACATAGACAAGACGGAGGTCATGAAGATAACCAACCAACAACAGCAGCAACATCCAGTGCCAATCACCATCAACGGGAGGGATTTGAAAGAGGTTACTTCTTTCACTTATCTAGGGAGCATTGTCTCAACCACAGGAGGAACGGACGAGGATGTCAAATCGAGAATCGGGAAGGCGAGAAACACATTCATCAACCTGAAACCAATCTGGAAATCTTCGTCACTCAACTCAGCATCAACAACAAAATTCGGATTTTCAATACAAACGTGAAGTCAATTTTGCTTTACGGATCAGAAACTTGGCGAGTCACCAAGAATATTTTCAACAGGTTGCAGACCTTTATCAACAACTGTCTTCGCTCCATACTGAAGATTAGATGGCCAGAAAGAATCACAAACAAGAAGCTATGGGAACAAACGAAACAGGAACCAATCGGCCAACAAATATGCAGGAGGAAGTGGAGATGGATTGGACACTCGCTGAGGAGGCCGTTGAGTGACATCGCGCGTCAAGCCCTCGAGTGGAACCCGAAAGGGAAGCGGCGAGTGGGACGTCCAAGGGTGACATGGAGGAGATCGTGTGAGGAGGAGATGAAACAGTATGGAATAACATGGACGCAAGTGAAAAGTACAGCACAAGACAGAAGCAAGTGGAGACGTGTAGTTGAAGCCCTATGTTCCACTAGGAACCCAAGGGAACAATAATAATAATAATACTTAAACACTTTACCAATCCTATTTTCACTGACATAGGGTTGGTGAGATGATCGGAAGTCTAAATATCTGTTTGAATGTGTGGGTTTCCTGTAAACAAACACCAGTGTGTTTAACTTCCCATCTTCTTTCCTTTTTACGCTACAATCTAACATTGGGAGCTCCCCTTCCTGATTTTCCAATTCATAAGTGAATTGAATTGCTTCAACCTTTGAGTTAATGTATTCGAAAAATCTATCTATATCCTGTGTTCTAAGTACAATGAATGTGTCATCTACATACCTCCACCATACTTCATGGATAAGTGGGAAAAAATGGCGATTGAAACGTCATCCAGTAAATAATAATACTGTTTCACTCACTGTGTGATACATCTAATAAACAAACTAATATGAAAATATTAGTGTGGCGCATATCTTGGCACCCAAGAGATGTTTTTTGTTTCAAGAATAGTAATAATAAAAATTTTAAGTACCTAGTTAAATAATCTTCAACAGGATTTGGTGGTTTCACTAGACGATCGAATACAACTTTGCCAATTTCATCGACTAATGTTACACGAGCCAATTCACTTCCATCTGAAGTGATTACCATTTCACAATCGACAGCAAACATTGGACTTTTTGATGATACCGGTAGATAGACAGACTGAAAGCACGACAACAGACAGACAGAGAAATATGAAGATTAATTTTAATGTACACGGAAAAATGAAAAAAAAAAAACTATATTATGTATTAACAACAAAAAGTAAACTAATGCGGTCTTAGTGAAATAAATACATGCCTACCCAAGCCACCGCCTTTCTCGTCATGCAACCTTAGTTGATACAGAATTAAATTACAGATGGTCAAATCAAGACCTAGAATCAATCCGTGTAGTCTCCCTGACTGTTTGGTTTTAGCCCCATATACAGAGGCGTAGACTGCTTGGCTAGAGTTCTCGAGAGATTAAGAACCAATGGCTAACAAATGCATTCACTCCTGTCAACTCCTTGTACTGCTGAGGCCTTCCGTTTCACTGGGAACCCAAAGGAATAACAATATTATGATTATTGTTTCCTTTAATTCCTAGAGGAACATAGGTCTTCAGCTGCGCGTCTCCATTGCGTTCGGTTCTCTGCTAGAATCTTCACCTGGCTCCAAGTCTGCCACACGATTTCATCTCCTCTTCACATCACCTCCTCCAAGTCACCCCACCCTTGCACTGACGACCAACTCGCCGCTTTCCATTCTATTGGAGTTCCACTCGACAATGGCTTGTCTAGTGATGTCACTTCATGGTTTGTTTCCTCAGAGTATGGTCAATCCATCTCCATTTCTTCCTGCCTATTTGTTTCACAATCGGTTCCCGCTAAGTTGGTTCGCTCATTGCCAGAGATCCCTCTCTGTTGCTGATCTTTTCTGACCGGCCATCTGATCTTCAGTATTGAGCGAAGACAGCTAGCTGTTAATGAAGGTCTGTAGTTTGTTTGAGATGCTGTTTATGACGCGCAGTGCAAGTCTCTGATCCGTATGTTAAGTAGCACTGACTGACTTCACATTGGAGTTGAAAATCCGGATCTTATTTTTCATGCTGAGTGCTGACTGTTGACCTCCACACAGACTTGAGAGTAGTGAAAGCTTGTCTTGCTTTCCCGATTCTTGCTTTGATATCCTCGTCAGTTCTGTCCTCCTGTAGTTGGAACGATGCCTCCCAGGTAGGTAAAAGAGGTTGTTTCTCTCAGGTTCCTCCCAATTATACTGATCGTTGTCTGTTGTTGTTCTTCTTGCCCAGAAATCTTCATCACCTCTATTTTCCCTATGTTCACCTGAAGTCCTATCTTTGATGCTTCCTCTGCCAACTTGTTGCTTTTCGCTTGAATATCTTCCAGTTTGTGTGAAATCAGGCAAATATCATCGGCGAAGTCCAGATCCTCCAATAATAACATAATATAATGTGAATCTTAAAATCTCATATAACATGGTGGAGGCAGAGATTGATTACCGAAGCTTCTTTATTCATAGAATTAGCTGAGAATACTGGCCATAGAAATGAGTCAACACCTGTTGAGGACATCTAGAAAATTCTACTCTCCTTACAATTACAAAAGGAAAGCAGAATGAGAACGTTAACAAAATGAAGTTTTGAAGATGTTTATTCACTATTAATGATACAATAAGAATAATAATATACTTTGTTTCTAGAAAGTCATCATGCAATGAACACATAAAACATTGAACTGTAGTGCAGCAGTTCAACTTGCCACACTCCATATAACACAAAAAGGCAACAAAAAAGAGAGAGAAAAAGGGACTACAAAGGGACTATAATAAGCAGTAGATTCAGGGAGGAAGATAAATAACATGGGAAAACATTAGGGTTTAACAGATTATGGGAGGTCACAAAGAGTGGATGCATCTGCACCAGCCGGCTATTAAGAAAGATTTCGAGCCAGCCATATTACCAACTGTCTCCAGCCGCCGTCATTGGTTCTAATCAACCTGAGGACTCTACTAGAGAGTCTGCACCTACCTGCATTATTATTTATCTTTATATTATTATTCCTTTGCGTTCCGTGTGAAACATAGGGCTTCAACAACACCTCTCCACTTTGTTCTGTGTTCTGCCATCTTCTTCACCTGGACCCACGATTGACCAAACTCTCTCATCTCTTCCTCACACGATCTCCTTCTTGGCACCCTAACACCGACGACCCACTCATCATTTCCCATTTGGATTCCACTCGTGCAATGGCCTGCATCGCGTGCGATGTCATTCGGCGGCCTCCTCAGTGTATGCCCGATCAATCCATCTCCACTTTCTCCTACATATTTTCTGATCGATAGGCTCTTGGTTGACTTGTTCCCAGCCAGTTTCTTGTTGCTTATTCTTTCTGGCCGGCCGTTTGATCTTCAGTATGAAAACAGCGAGGGCAGTGTTGATGAAATTCTGAAACAGGCTGTTGGAAATCCTTTTCGTGACACGCTGGTCAAGTTCCTGAAATGTATGGAAGGACCAACTTGACATTTGTGTTAAATAGAATCCGAATCTTGTTCCTTAAGCTGAGTGCAGAAGATTTTCAAACTGGTTTCAAGTCGATGAAGGTCTATCTTACCTTTCTGATTCTGACTTTGACATCTTCGTCCGTTCCGACTGCCTGTAGTTGAAACGATGCTTCCTGGTCAGATAAGTGAAGGAGGCTACCACTGTTAAATCTCTCCCCTTGATGATGGTGATTGGTGCTGGTTGCTGTTGTTTGATTGGTTGGTTGGTTGATTATCTTCATCACCTCCGTCTTTTCTATGTTCCCTTGGAGTCCTGTTTTCGCTGCCAGCCAGCCTCTTCAGCCAGTTTGTTGGCTCATGCTAACTGCCAAAGATTTCATGGAGTGATCCCATGTTTTTTGACCAGCACACTAACTCCCCTCCAACCGGGTCGTATATCAGCTACCATTACCTGTTGAGGAAGGCAACGGTCAGGCAAGCGTAACACATGTCCTGGACACCTCAACAGACGTAGTTTCACAACTTCACCGATTGACTAACCCTCGACGCCTAACTTCAAAATTAACACGAAGTTAGACACTGCTACAGAGGAGTCCAGGCTTTAAACACATAGCGGCATCGACAATGTTTACTTATTACGAATCTACTGGTGAAATAAATATTGCATACAGGAAGTTCTTATGAACACAATGTACAGATAGTATTTCTTGATATATTGCAGTATTGCAAGGTTAGAAAACTTGATGACAACAGAGCGGATTGAATTCCAGCCAAAGTGACTGAATAGTCAACAAACTTAGTCTCCTCTACGCTGAAAGCCCCAGGTTCGATGTCTAGTAGATGAACATTGCTGAAGAGTCCTTCAAAAACTAGAACGAAAAACAGCTATCTAATGATTTCTGCTGGCGTTTATTGTCGCAATGATCTCCGTCTAACCAATGTTAGTTTTGTAAATAAATCCACATTGAATTGAAATACTATTGCGGTGAGAGCTGTCTGAAAGCCAAAATTATGGTCAACAGGGTCATAAGAAAAAAATAACAAGGCTTAACCTTGAAGAACTCACCAACCAATCACAACACATTTAAAGTGTGCAAATACGATTTGCAGATATATGGCTTAGCTTTCTAAGGAACTGTCACAAGCCGTACAGTATAACCTTTAGCAAGAAAACAACCAATCAGAAAACGTTGCTTCTCTGCTAACAATAACACTAATAATACTGTGCATAAAAATCTATAAATATCTGTTGATTTTCTCAATAAATGATCTATTGCCTGGCCCTTGTCTTCTGTCGTTACAATAGTAGTCGTAATGATACATAAAAAGCATTTTATTACAAAGTTTAAAACCAGTTTACACTTACTTTACTTGGCAGAAAATCTGAACGATCTCTTTGTTGTTTGCGTGGAATTTCTAATTCTGCAGGTAGCGGAATTTTTTCTTTTTTCATTTGTTCCACATTTAAGAGAAGCAGTGTTCTATCATAGGCATCTGGTGTACCCGATGATGGCAAAGGGAAGTATGAGCTGTCTGCTTTACGCTTTCTTGAAGCAGTAGTCGATTCTGTCGACTCAGGAATGATAACATCAGAAGAAGAAGACGGTTTTTCCTTAGTGATTGCATAGACTGCTTTAATGACGTGATTCTTTTCAATTTTATTTGCATCATCAATCCATCTACGACGTGGTGCATGAGTTAGAATTGATTTTTTGGTATCTATAGGGAGAGAACAATATATAAAGAAATAGCTTTGATTTTCAAAGTCTATAAGTAAAATGTTTTTTTTTTAGTAAATAGCTAGATTCATTGTGGTGATTTTTTTCCACAGTTCATTTGTTTGCATCTCTAGTGAAACAAGTGACAGCCTACGGAGAGTTGTCATTTAAAAATTGGTGATAACTAGTGGTGTCTATCACAGCGAGAGATGTCCACTATCCCCATAACTTCGGTTTAATTTCATCATAGATGACTTCAGCGACTCAGGGGTCGACTTGTTACTATATCAAGGAATAATCTCGTTGACTTAGAATATGCAGATAATATAGTCCTCCCACCTAGGTGAAGACGCTGCCGAAATAGAGCAGAGTCTTCTGAAGACCTTGACAGGCAGCAATCTTCGGTTGTTTGGAATGCGATTCGCTCCTACTGTCAAATGTAAGATGATGCTACTGGAGTGGACCCCATCAACTACTCCTGGCTTAAAGATAGACGAGAGAGAAGCGGTAGAGCGTGTCAACCACTTATTTTGTCTATCTGTTTTCGACATAGAACTTTGCACATATGTGCGGCAGTTCAATTCGCCACACTCCTTCCATGTAGCACACAAAACAAGAAAAGAAAGTAGAAGAAATGCATAATATAGACAGTAAACAGGGATATGAGACAAAAGGAATAGTAATAACGAAGAACAATATAGTTTCATTGGGTATTATAAGTCATAAGGAGTGGATGCATCTGCACCAGCCAGCCATTAAGAACGATCCCTTTGAGCCATATCACCGACTGTCTCGAACCATTGGTGTTTACCGTCCTGAGGATCCCAACCAGTCAGGAAGTCTATACCTCCCTATGTGACTGGCTGGCCTAAACTAACTGTTGTGGATTTTATTGACTGATGAAGCCATGTTTTGGTTTGACCGCCGCTAGCTCTTTTCCAGCCTGGCCCTATATCAGCCAACATTGCCCGTCGAGGAAGGCGATGACTAGGCATACGTAACACATGTCCTAATCCCTGACGAAATCTCATCACGGATATAGGAGTCTGGTATCGCACTTGCCAAACTACACTATCTCTGGCTTAGACGTGATATCCGGTTAGCTGTCAAACAAAGGCCGCGTGCACTACTCAGCAGTTTGCTCCGTCCTCCTTTATGGCTATGAGTGAGACATGACCATTGAAAGTGGGAGATATGAAAAAACTAGCTAGCTAAGTGTCTTTGATCATAGATGCCTGCGTTCTATCTTCCGTGTTACGTGGTGGTGTAATAAGGTGAGCAATATTGAGTTTAGGCATCGGTCAAGTGCTAGGTAAGGCGGAGAAATCAATCAACAAGGTTGTGAAGTTACACCGATTGAGAGAGATGGTTAAGACATGTGTTACACGTATGCTTAGCCATCGCGTTCCTTGGCAACGGGCAGCGTTAGCCGACAGAGGATGGATCAAGTTGGAAAAGAGCTGGCACATAATGGTCAAACCGAAACATGAATTCATCAGTCAATGAAATCCACAACAATTAGTTTAGGCCAGCCAACCAGCCACGTAGGTAGGTGTAGACTACCTGACTGACTGGTTGGGGTCCTCCGGATGGAGATAATTGTTGATATGGCTGGCTCAAAGTGATCGTTCTGAGTGGCTGGTGCAGGTGAATTCACTCTTTGTGATATATCATATTCGATAAAATTCTTTCTATTGTTCTTCCATATTACTATTCCTTTTGCCTCATATTTCTGATTATCTCTCTCTCTTTTGAATCTCTCTTTACTCCCTTCTCTTGCTTTGTGTGCTACATGGAGTGTGGCAATTCCAACTGGTGCACATCTGTGCAAAGTTCTACGCTGAATCCAATCAGTTAGTCAGAAACAAACGGGGCGTTCAAGCGTTGCATTTTGAGTAGCGATAGTGTTTTTTACATAGCATGAGGTTACTAGGCTTCCATCAAACCTCTCCACTTTTACAAGCTTATTGCCAGGTTGCTTATCTCGGCAGCGTTCATGAGTAAGCTAGTCAGGAACAGAACCCATAGTAGACGGAATGGTGGTGATGAACATCTCCATCGGTCACCACAGTACACTTGACATCAATTACTAAATCACCAAGCTCTAAGTACAACCCCTGTGAACCAAAGTTACGATTCCACAGTAACTGGTCAAATCACACTTTTAATAATACTACTATGCTTTATATAGGTGTCTCTAAACGAAGGTGAAGATTCGCCTTATTCAGTATTTAGTCCTATCGCATTCACCAAGTTGAATCACTTCTTTTTATGAAACAGTAAAAGTAATTTGAAAATTCCCATTGAGTCATAGAAAAGAAAAGGCGTTCAGCAAAGAGTTACTCTTTTCGGCGATATCATTCTCAAGCTGTACAAACCGCAAATTTATAACTCACAGAATCCACAACATTTGCAGTCCGGAAACCATAGAAGAGGAGCTGAAGACCCTGAAAAGAATCCTCCTTGAAAACGGTTACCCGGAACGTTTCATCACAAAAGCCATGAAGCCCAAAACACAAAAACCGTCCATGCTTACTGCTCCCAAGAAACTTCTCTATTTGAATCTACAATTCAACGGAGATTCTTCAGCAGAAATACTGAGAAACCGCCTGTGCCGCTCACTGAAGAAAACCTTCTTCGCAGCTGAACTCAGACTAACTTTCTCTACGAAACCAGTGATTCACACGAACGTGAAGGATAAGCTTTCACTGGGGGCCTCATCAATGTGCATCTACCAATTCACCTGCTCATGTGGAGCGAGGTATGTTGGCCGTACCCAGCGTTTGCTATCCAAACGAATCAGCGAACACTTACCTTCATGGTTTTATAAAGGAGAAATAAGATCCCCCCACCACAGCTCTATCCTAGAACACTTGATCGAATCCGGACACCAAGCAAACCCACAAGACAACTTCTCAGTTATCTACACAATACGTGGGAGTCTTGCCAAAAGATTACGAATTAAACTTCTTCAAACTGCAGAAGCAATGGCGATTCACATATTGAATCCTGAACTCTGCATACAAAAGAAATTTGTTCAGTCACTAAATCTACAATGGTCCTGATCTATCTCAACACCAAATACGTAATTTTGTCTTACCTCTTTCTTCTTTGTTTGTCTGTTTCTTAGTTGCATTATTTTCTACCCCCACCCTCTATTAAATCTCTACCCTCATGACGACTGTTACTAACTCCATTTTCGTTCATTTTCAAGTGAATTCTACTCAGACTATTAACTTGACTCTCATTCATTTTTCATTGAACCCTAGCAATTAGATTACGTCACCCAACCTACTTTTGTAACTTTATTTTAGTTTCTAACCGATTAACGCCCTCTAAATTACGTAATTTGTTGTCAAAAATTAACAAATGCATTAACACATCTTTGGAAATATTCCTTTTGTTGCCAAGAAAAATTACTATAAATTTGAGGTTTGTACAGCTTGAGAATGATATCACCGAAAAGAGAAACAGTAAAAGAATAGTATCCTCACTTTTGAGATCTAAGAGTGCCTTAAACCACATGATGTTCAAGATTTTTCTTTTATTCCTTTACGTTCCCAGTGCTGGAACATAAGATGCCTTCAAGCTAGAGGCTTGAAGTTTCGGTAGCAGTGATGTTTATTTTTTACGGGATGGGGTGGTTGCTAGCCACCTCTCATGCCCAACCTTCCTTCTTCACCAGTCTTATTATTGGCTTAGCGAGGTAAAGAAGGAGTGCTTCGGTGGCCGGGGATCGAACCTCGAAACACATGGGGGCGTGGTTGGCGAGCATTCCAACGCTGTGCTACCGATGTTCATATTTTTTTATTCCTTCACGTTTCCAGTGGAACATAGGGCTCCAAGCTAGTGGCTTGAAGTTTCTGTAGCAGTGTTAATTTTTACAGGATGGGGTTGCTAGCCCCATGCCCAACCTTTCCTCCTCACCAGCTTTCAGTTCTGGCTTAGCGAGGTAAAGGAGTGCGCCAGCCGGGGATCGAACCCCGGACCATGTATATGGTCGGCGAGCGTTCTAACCACTATGCCACCGACGCACAGATGTTCATATAGGCTACTAGAATTTAATAAGCGCTAAAATGTTAAAAGGGTTGATGAGTACCAGATACGTAACTTTACAGTTGCCTAATATTTTATTTAAAGCATAAACTGGATACAACGCGGGTACCAGGAGATGCTCCATACAACAAAATATATATAAAGAAAACAGGGGGAGAGAAAGAAAGAAAGAATGACGGGCATCATCCAGAAGGTAGTCATCACTTCATAGCATTACTTTCAGAAAGGGAAGAGACAAAGAACAGGAAATCGCAGCATCTTCGCCATTGATTGCGATCCTGGGCTACATATTTGATAACATTTTCAGCCACCGATTCGAATAATCTTACGGATCAAAACGTTGGGAGAGAGTTATGACGTACCGACTAATGCTAACCAAACGCATAAAAAATCTCCTTCATCACTCCACGGTGCCATGTGTCATAGGCTGACTACCTTTCAACTTTTTCACTTTATATCAGTAGGTCAGTTGGGAATCAGTCATGCTGGAACAGACTGTTTATCTGTCATAATTGTCTTTTTGTGTGTGTGGTGTGTGTGTGCTACCGACCAGTCTCTCAGGCTGAAGTAGACAGAACCGGGATTTGAATTCAGAACTCGCTGGCGAAAAGTTAAATAAGAAAATCATTAAACTATATCTCTTTTTGATTGAACACTAGGCAGTTACTAACTAGCGTCATACGTCTAGTCCTTTGTTTTGTGCAGACTAAATTCTCCAGACTAAATTGCCTTCGACTCCGTGGATCCAGAGGTACTATGGCAATGTTTGACTGTGAGGGGAGTGCCAAGAAAGTACATTGCACTAATCAAGGCACTCTACTCAAACTCACGTAGCTGTGTAAGGGCTTATGGGGAACTGTCATCTGAATTGATAACAACCAGTGGTGTCCGTCAAGGATGTCCACTTTCCCCTTTACTGTTTAACTTCATCATAGATATGCGAATGGAAGTATCCTTAATTGAACTTAACGACTTAGGAATCAACTTGTTACCAGGGAATAGTCTTATGGACTTAGAATATGCAGATGACATAGTCCTGTTAGGGGAGGATGCTTACAAAATGCAGAGTCTTCTGAACACCTTGACCAGCAATTTTCGTATGTTTGGCATGCGATTCGCCCCTGTAAAATGTAAGATGCTGCTACAGGACTGAACTACGTCAACTCCTAGCTTAGTGATAGGGAGTGAAGTGATAGAACATGTTGACCGCTTCACCTATTTGAGAAGTTGTATCAGCACCAACGGACTGAATAGCGACGAAATATCAGCACGGATCCAAAAAGCTCGAGCTGCTTTCGCTAACTTACACCATCTCTGGCGTAGGCGCGACATCCGGCTATCAACCAAGGGACGTGTGTACTGCTCATCAGTTCGCTCTGTCCTTCTCTATGGCTCTGAAACATGGCCAATACGATTTGAAGACGACATGAGAAGGTTGACTGTTTTTGATCATAGATGTCTACGATCTCTTTCTCGCGTTAGGTGGTATAATAAGGTAAGTAATGTTGACGTTAGGCGTAGAGTGTTGGGCAAAGAGGGAAAATCAATCGAAGAGGCTATAAAGTTACATAGATTGAGATGGTTAGGCCACGTGCTGCGCATTCCTAACCATCGTCTCCCCCGACGGGCATTATTAGCTGATATAGGTGCAGGTTGGAAAAGAGTAAGTGTTGGCCAAACAAAAACATGGCCTCATCAATCCATGAAATCCCTGACAGTTAAACTGAGTCAGGTAGGGAGAGAGATGCAGACTTCCGGGTTGGGGCCCGCCCTCGGGACTCTAAGAATCAATCAATGGCTGGAGACAATAGGTGACATGGCTCAAAATCGTTGTCAATGGCTGGCCTACGCAGATGTATTCAGTCTCTTGTGTGATCTTTCATATTCCTTTCTACCATTACTCATTCTGTTTCATTCTTATACTCGTCAAAACTCTATTGATTCTCTTCACTCATTTTCTTGTCTACTTTTGTGTGCTATTTGGAACGTGGCAACTGGAACTGCTGCACTTCGGTTCCAAGTTCTATGTTGAATCCAACCAGCCAGCCAGCCAGCTTGCTGACTGGTGAATACCAGCCTAAGTCGAAAGCCTCCTACCGATTGCTTACAAGCTCTATCTCTCTACTAGATTATATCAATAGACATCAATATGAATAGGGGACAGAGAGAAAAGACACCTACCTGCCATTGTTATAGCATGAGCAGTGAGAAAACTACGTGGAACAGTAGCAATTTCTTTATCCCATGTATACTTGTATGCTTCTGGACTCAATACGCTTAATGGCTGAAAGAGAAGAATGCGTATACTGTATATACCATCTCATAAAATATTTACCTCTCCAAACATTGTAAAGAAGTCATCTGCATACTTTCCATCCGCATTCACAGCAGGTATTCGACTGACAAATATCAAGACAACATTCTTGATCAATGCAGGTTTGATAATTGAACACCAACTAGAATACACACACACACACACACACATGAATTATAATATTTGGGGACTTACTCAGGCCATTTTATAAAATGCTGAGGAAACATGATCAATCCAAGCATTTGCTGTATATCCATAGCATAGAGGACATGATGGCGGTTTTTGATAAAAAGCAAAGGCTTCTGTTAAAGAACTGTATGATAAGCAATTAAATGCTGAAACCTTTTTAGCTTTCTTTTGGACGTCATTCATGTTGTGGCTAACGTTATTATTAGTAGTATAAACTGTTATGTGGATATGAAAATGCAAAGAATTAATGCATCAGCGACTTGTTTTATTTATTGTTAGCTAATATCGGAATTGCGACTTACCAAAATTTGATTTTTTTATAAAAAAAGATATTAAAGAATAAAAATTGTCTTTTTAGTTGTCGGCGGGAAAAATTATATATATGTACACCTAAGGGTATGTTAGAAGCGCGTAGAAGAATGGATGCTGGTTATCTATTTGATTGCACCATCCAGTTGAATGTTACTTCATACAAAGGTTATGCAGAAACAAAGAAAAGTCACATGAGTTACATTAGATTAATATATATTAAGGGGGGGCGAAGTTTAACAATAGCCTCCCAGGAGTGAGAACGCTCCAATGACCTAGGACGCATGCTAGTCGTTGGTTGACGGCATCCGTCATTATCATAGCTGAAATATTAACGGCTGTTCACCAACAAAGCAGTAAATTTCACTCAGATCAGGTTTCTAAGTAATGTTTGGACAGTGTGTTAATAGGTCGTAAGGGTTAAGGTAAGTTATTAAGGTTAGGGTTAAGACTAGGGATAGATTTAGAGATTATGTCATTTATTTTAATTTGTTTTATCAATTCACATTTTCCTGATAAATAGTCGTCGGTCCTCTTACTGGAAATCATAGGAATTCAACCGAGGGCTTCTCGGGGAAGACTGCACATGAGGATAACAGAGAGAGATAAACAATTCACAAAAACAGCTCATCCTTAACCACCTCGGTGAATACATGTACAGAAACTAGTCTAACTTAGCAACTGATACTCCTCATTATAACTGGGACGTATTTTTAAGTCATGTCAGAGAAAGATACCCTGTTTAATGCGTTTTCATGCATTTTCTTGTAAATATACGTCATTTTTTGTGAAAAAATTCCTCATTTTTTATGACTGGTCGGCTGAAGGTCACTCGTGCGTTCGCATCCCTTGGGACGTTATTGTCGAACTTTACCTTACAATGTTCTCAATTTCTGCTTTCTATACAACACAATAACAACAAAAAAACAGTAATCTAGTTGATTTAGTCTATAAACGCGTCACATATTTAGAACAGCTGTCTGAAAACGTTAATGTTTCGAAAGCCAACATTTATAGAGCAGTACATAAACTTCAACAGTTGGGTACGACACTGTAGAAAAAAGAAATCTTATTCATTTTCTAAGCTCCAGAATTCGGAAAATTTACTCGATAGATTCAGCTGATAAACACCTGGAAAATCTGACGCAATGGACATCCTAGAAGGTTTATTGAAACACGATGAAAGAAACCTATCCTGGCTATATCATAGAGCCTCAGGATGGTCGGGGGTGGGTGCCTTGCGCTGCGGGTTGGCCACCTCTCCGCACACCTCTTGAAATGCTCCCATATGACCGGGCGTCTTACATAGCCTCTCCTGAGGAAGTCCTACTCACTGCCTTCACGTGGCGGAGGTGTTTTTCACCAAAGTGAGAGGGCGAAAGCGGATGCCCGGCGCTCTTCACCGGGTTGACTGTTCATTGGATGACAGTCTAGGGGAGATGGCTAAACCCTGATTCCAAACCTCCAACGACTGGCGTATGAAGCTCACTGGAGCTCACCGGCAGACGTATGGACAAAGGGCTTGTTGGATGTCCTGGATGTCTGGCCCCATTCAAAAAGGCGTATGAACCGAACTCCGGTCACCGGCTGCCAATGGATAGTGGACTCCCTACTCCACTCCTACTGCCTTGTAGGTCACACTTGGTTGTGTAAAGGCTAGAGCTGCACTCTCAAACGAAAGGCCGAGCGATTTTGGGGACATCACTCGTACCGAATTCCCATGAAACTTCATGAACTCTCTTACAAACGATTCGAGATGTTCATGAAACCGGCTCATCCTCCCGTAGGAGATAGCCGAAGTAAAGTAAAGTAAGCTAAAGAAGAGATTATTTATGAGTTTAGTATTCAGAGGTCACACTATTGTTGAACCTATAAAAGTCACCTATTCAAGTGTGTGGTTGCAGGATTTCACCATGGGCTGACACCGGTTAGAGAATAGTTGGAAAATCTGGGAATACTGGACAGCCGTTTTTTCCTGGTTTGGGACTCTTCATCAGTACGCATCCACCGGGGTTCAAACCCTACAAACCAATACTTGAATATCAATGAGATGCTCACTAACGAATGGGCCTATTCAAGTAGGTAGTTACCTGGGGTTCTAGTGGGAAGTCGTGACCAGTAGGCCACAGCAGGTCGAGTGTGGGGACACATACTGGCAGCTATTTCGTGAATTGGTAGAAGTTGGAATGTACGGGCGATTGGATCGTGTTCCAATGGCTTAATGGTCTACGAGCTCGCTTGCCTTGTAACCAGGTCCTGGGTTCGAACCACGGCGGTAGGTGCGAAGTGATGAAGAGTCCTAAACTAGAGTGACGAAACAGCTTTCCAGTACTCCCCAATGGTTTCCAATGGTTCTCTAACCGATGTCAGCTGATGATGAAATCCTGTAGCCAACAAATCAAATCTCTACAATCCAATACTTAAATATCCAAGTGTGTATTAAACACTTTTCTCCAGTCAAAGTATGATTCAACAATGCTTGAAAAATAAACTATCACTTATTGTCGACCTCTGTGCCAATCCACTCTTTCGCATGTTCCTATGGAGCTGAAGACATTGGACGTTAAGTGATTTCCGGAAATCACATAGATGAACACTATCTGGTTTGGTGGATGAAAGTCAGGCATTAGATGACGAAGTCTTCTTGAGTTAAGTCATTCAACTCTACACGATTTATCTTATGAAGTATTCTATAGGGCCAAACACTAAAAATGCTTACGTTTTTTTCTACTTATATATATAGCCGAAGCTCTAGATATAACACGGACGAAAACGTTTTGTTAAACCGCTTTCTTTCCCTTGGTCACAGTAATATTTCTGCTGTTTATATTTTACTTTATCGGTTAAGTTCAATCCACTCCACTTTGGGTCCGTCTTTCTGACTGTAATCATCGGCGCACTATTAATTCTTTTCGAAAACACCTGACGTGCTTTTCGAATTTCAATACCAATTCACTTATTTAATGAAGTTTAAAATTTGTTTTAATTCATCCAATTCCATTATGAGTAAAATTTATTTTGATAAAGTCTCACAGTGTTATACGGTAATATTTACTGATGACGTTTTGAGCATAGTTTATTGCTCATAATCCTATCAAGACACTAGTCACACAACTTTCTAACTTCGTTTATATACATAGAATAGAAGAAGGTAAACTGCACACTAGAGTTTAAAAAACCAACGCATTCTAGTAGATATTTAAATTTTAATTCATCTCAGTTATCAATCTGTGAAGGAAGGCTTGGTTAAGTGTGTCTAACAAACCGAGCAGTAGTACTAAGTACTACAAGGAAAGTCCTATATGATGAAAGAAAACAGATGGTATCAAATAACCATCCTATAAAATTCATGAGGAAGGTCAGAAAAGGCCAAAAGCAAAATAAAAATAATGAGCAAGCTAATAATGACCACATAAATAAGAGGGAATATAAGGCATCTTCAGTACTTTTACCATATAATGGAGGGGACATCTGAGACCCTATGTGGGATTCTCAATAAAGCAGGAATTAGAGTGGCATTCAAACCTGTAAACTCACTCGGGGGCAAGCTCTGTAGGATAAAGGACCCTGAAGGTTGACCCAATTAGACAAAATAATATAATTTACAAAATACCTTGCGGCGACTGTGATTGGGGTCAACTACATAGGTCAAACTAGTAGATCAGGAGTAGTAAGATTATCAGAACATAAGAATTTAGCGAAGGTTAGGAGGATTGATCCCACCAGGATAAGTAATTTAGAGAAAAACTCAGCAATTGCACTGCATGCATTAACACACAACCACACAGTAGGGTGGGAAATGGTTAAAATTGTAAAAAGTAATCTAGGTAGGTGGAGAGAGAGGTTAATTAATGAATTCTTGTTCATCGAGTCTACACCAAACACGTGCAATAGGAATGGCTCATCATTCATACCGCAAATATAGAAAATACTACTACCAATCAAGTGAAGCGATGAAAACTGATGGAATTATATAAACGAAGTTGGAAAGTTGTGTGAGTACCTACCTTGATATAATTATGAGCAGTAATAAATTGTGTTCTTAACGTGGTCATCAGTAGATATTACTGTATAACATACACTGTGAGACTTTATCAGAATAAATTTTACCTATAATGGAATTATACTCCACCACCACAGTGTACAAGTTTTATTCTTTTATCAATCATCCAATTCCACCCTGACTCATAAAAATCAATTTAATTACCTTCGTTCTTATCACATGTATACTGATTGAGCAAGTTTTAGTGTCACTTAGTGCAACTGTACGCCTTGGAAGCGAAGTCATTGTAAAGAATTACTTTTTTGCTCAATGAAATCTGTGTATATTTCGTGATTTAAACAAAGATCGTCTATATAGTATTGATTTAACCATTCATAATATATATTTCTTAAGAAGCTAGTGTAAATATACGATGGTGCTTGTAAGGTGAGTGAGAGGTAATCATCTCAGATTTGTCATCTAAATGAATTTCACTACTCTCTCCTATGACACTACTGACAAGTGACAGGATTTAATATAAGCGCTAGAAAAGTTGTCTTGAAGAGGACAATATTGAAATGTAGATGAAGCATAATCACACCAAGGAAGGGTCAGTATGTACTTTGATTGGACACTAGTCAATAACTAGTGTGATGTGTCTAGTCCTTTCTCTGGTGCAAACTGAGTTCTGTCAGTCAGGTTTGCAATGTGACCACCATTCCACTAGGTAGCTCTTCATCACTGTGCATATTGATTTGATGATATTAGACTGATAGAACTCAGTCTGCACCAAAGAAAGGACTAGATATATTACACTAGTTACTAGTGTCCAATCAAAAATATCCAGTGCAGTTCTACAGGAAGCCAATCGTGAGCCCGAACAGCTTACTGGTAACGTCTCTGACAGCAGGCAGCACTGGGTGATGCGGGTTCGAGTCTCAGAGGAGTGGGACATGAGTTCCTTCAAGGTTGCAGATATGCCATTCTGACTGATGAGTGCCAACTAGCACGAAACCTAGGTCCAGGGCTTCCTGTGGCCAATTGCTCCCAACCATCTAATAAGGATTAGTATGTTGATATACTGAATCACTAGTACTTCTAAAACTTACTACCAACTTATTCAACGCAAAAACGTCTATATGTTGAAAAGAAATGAACGATTTACACACTACTAGAGGAATGTATCTTCTGGCGCTTAAAAGGGGACGAAATCGCCACAAAGTTCACGAGTGCTTCGCGAAATAGAGTTATTTGATTTAGGTTAAGCTGTGAGCATTTAAGTTACATCCAGAATGGATATATTAAAAAGTATATAAAGCGTTGATGTAATCGCCACAGCAAACGTTATGTTTTCTCTGTGGCTACACAGTATAATTCACAAGCAGTGGCAGTGTGCACTACTAAACTGAGTACACTTTACATAAAGTTTGTTGTCCTTCAAAAAGGTGAAAATCCAGATCTGTATGACGTTATCAAATTAGGTGACAGGAAGTTTCTTTAAACACAAAGTTGGATTACAAAAAACGGTGTGACATTTTGCATTTGGAAGTAACTAGCTCTTCTGAATGGATTCATCAACTTTTTTCAGTTAAGATATTGTACTCATATCTGTTTGTGATATATGGTTTGCAATCACCCATAGCTCAACACATTAGGTACTAAACTTTAAAACAGTGGATCACAATTTCAAACGACACTTTATCTTTGTTTGCTCATGAAGCTAGAGGCTGACAGTAGAAGGCATGTTATTAATTTCCCGGTAGACCAGTTGATCGGTACATCAGCTCTGTTAAAAATGCACTAGTCTGCGTACAGTTATTCTGTAGTGTTATTTATAGACTTTTCAGTGATATCAGCCACATATATTAACAATTCTCACTACTGGTCTTACTCAGTACACAGCGAATATCCCTGGAAACACATTGAGATGTTTATACTTGAATATCTAAATATAAAAACGTAGGTAAAACTTTGTCAAGTGTTATGATAAACATTCAGAAAGCAACATGTTTTTTTATTTATTTTTAGGTTTAACTTCAAGATCATTTTAGTTCTTAGTGGAAAACTGATTTAAACAGGGCCTAGTGATTTGTTTTGGATGAGGATTGCAGACAAATCTATTAAAAACCGTGTTCAACCAACTGCTTTAACTACATAAACACATTTGTTAAAACTAATCAGTGTCACAGGGAATACTGATTGTTTTGTGATGGGAATCAAATTCACGTTAAAAACAGACTTTAGCTCAGTTTTAATGATTCCATTAGGTGATCTATAGATGATGAATAAGGTATAACTTATTCCGGATCTCGTAAGAACGGTCAGGCCTCTTGAAAACCCCAGTCTTTCAATTAATTGGTTGATACTGTAATGAACTGAGGGCTGCAAACAACCGTCCTAAGTGTTAGTCTTGAATGTCCAGTAAAGCAATGGCTTAATATACATAAAGTTTGTCACAGGGAACAAATCACTTGTTTAATGACATAGACCATAAATTAATACCAAAAACAAAATTAAAAAGGTGATAGAAATCAACAGCCCACTATAAATATACACTCATTACACTGAAATGTTCTTGGGGATCAGAAATGATTCCACAGGGACGCGAAATCACCTACCATGTGGAAGGTCAACCAGCCCGCTTCAGTAGAATTTCGCGGGTACTTGCGCTGAATAGCCAATGGTTAATAAGGTTGCGAATGACAAGCAAACCAAATTCATCCCTACAAGTGTTGAAGAGATTGAGCTTAGAGACAAGGAAATGAAGAAAACACCTTTTTAAGAATCTTTTTGTCTTTCAGATCCTTCAGAAAGAAAAAATTGAGGATGTTTATTGTTTCAGCAAATGCCCTTTAGGCTGGCTATGCAAATATCTTGCATAAAGACGCTTTTCATTTGCCTCCTTATTCACTGTGCAGCAGCTTGGTCTGATTTTATTTCCTAAATCGCAGTCAGCCTCATCGAAACTGTTTTGTTTTAAAGAGTTCCCCCCCCCCTAGAATGAATGTGGGATATAAGATTTCAGATTCAGATTTATTGGTTGATGATAGAAGGCTGGGCGCCTATGTTAATCCTTATCTAGTAAATTTCTGTGCTAGTCCAAACCCTTCTTGAATAAATTAGTTGAGGTGGCAGACACCACTTCTTCTGGGAGTTGGTTCAGAGAGTTTATGCCTCGTTGTGAGAACGAGTACTCAACAGCAGTATGATTTCTTCTTGGCTCTCGAACTCTCCTGCTATGTCCTCTAAGGCGTTACAACCTAGTAGGAGGGAAGAAAGAGAATAGGTCCATATCCATTATTTAAAATTTAAACTTTGTGATTAAATCTCCTCTCTGTCTACGGTATGATTTGGAGAGGAGATTTAAACTGTCTGGTCTTTCCTCGTATGATAAGTTAGTCATGCCGAGAATCATTCGTGTTGCCTTTCTTTGAACCCTTTGTGGAATATGTGAGTCCATTTTAAGACAAGGACTGGATGCAGTTTCCTAGATGTATATGAGGAGGAAAACAAGTCTCTGGTAATTCTTGTAAAGGCTCAACCAATTGCCTATAAGGATCTGAAACTACGTACAGGCGCCGTACGACATTGTGCTGTAGTTTTTAAGTCGTGGCTAACTATGACACCTAAATCCAAATCAGTCTGAACTGATGGAAGTGTTATTCCCTCTAGTTCATAGGAGATGATGCTTGCTTGTCCCATGCGCATGGCTGCACATTTTGCTATGCTGATAGGGAGCATCCATCCTCTGCACGACTCTGATAGTATATTGAGGTCCTGTCGCAACGTGAGTTTATCACTTCCGCCCCTCAGCTCTCTCCAGATTTTTAAGTCGTATGCGTGTAGGACCATAAGAGAATCGGTGAACAGGTATAACTCACTGATATGCGAAATAAATAGGAGAGGTCCGAGTACCGTGCCTTGTGGCACTCCGCTACGCACTGCTGTCCAGGAGGAGAGTTTCGAGTTGATCCTAACCCTCTGCCTCCTATCTATGAGGAATTCCCTAAGCCAGTTTAGTGACCTGCCTATGATACAAAGACTTTCTAACTTCATGAGTAGTCTTTTGTGAGGAACTTTATCGAAGGCTTTGCTGAAGTCTATGAAGACGACGTCAACAGGTCTTCTGTTGTCCCTTGATTTGACTCAGCTTTCTCTTGCAGTGAGGAGATTTGACAGGCATGAGAGGTATCCTCGGAAGCCATGCTGTGTCCTGAATAACAAATTATTTTTTACAGATGTGCCACGATAATTTTCTTGATGATTCTTTCCAGTGTCTTGATTAAATTCCTGGTGAGACTAATAAGCGTGTAATTTGAAGGGTTTCGTCTTGATCCTCCTTTGTGGATAGGGGGTGCTATGGCATCTTTCGAGTCATGCATAACACTGTATTTAGGGGAGAAAACTTTCTTAGGTTGCATTGAAATCCAGATGTGCTTTGAACTTCACCCTTAATTGGCGGATTTCCGCAATACCTTTGTTCCTAGCAGTGTTGTATAATTTCCTGGCCTCAACAGACTCAAGTGTGGAAAACAGGTTCCAACATTTGTGTTTGCGTTCGAGAAACTTACAAATCTCTCGGTTTATCCAAGGGGGGCGATACTTCCGACCCTTTGGGACAGAACAAGGTATGACAGGTTCAGTTACTTGGGCGTAAAGTTGTTTGAACTGGTTCCATGCGGCTTCTACTTGGGACTCTGGGTTCATGTTCGCTGAGTTACCTGCTGAGACGATCGCACTTATATCCGTTCTCCCAAAGTCTGGCCGAGCCGGGGTTTTGGCCCATGATGCTGTTGCTGTGTACTTGAAAGTGAGCACAGCGTGATCGCTCTTTCCTAAAGCAGGAAGGTGTTAAATGACATGAACATCCTCACCGTGGGAGAACACTAGATCCAGAGTTGAAGAGGAGTGCTGTGAGTCATATACTTGACCCACTTTGTTCGAGACGACTTATTATAAACCTAGTATTCTTTAAAGTCCTACACAAAATACCATTCTCAGACAATATAATAATAATATATTCTCATTTTCGGTACATGAGGGACGCCAGTTTACTGGCATCATCAATATGATAAATTACATAGACATACGATTCTCACCGGAAAGCTCATACGATCTGCATAACCAAACTTGTACAGCTAAGATAAAAGCCTTTAAACCATCACTCGCGAAAACTTCTTCACAGTCATGTATTCTAAAGTACGAAGCAGTTCACTCATGTAAATAAGAACTTGCACCTCGGTTATAAGCTTCATACGCTCTGCATACAAACCATTTCATTCTAATAGTTATTTCTAGAAAAAATCGAATAATAAGATTCCAGCGTGTCTATAGAACGTGTAAGACTTGACTAATTGTACTCCATAAGCGATAAATCGTAATTTATTCAGTGTAAACGAGTCAGTTTACATGAAATGCATGCCAGACATGTGATAAATTACAATCGCGAAGTGCCATAAAGTAATACTTTCTCAAAAGTCTAAGTGGTAATTTTTATTACAGACAGTTAAATTGTAAACCCTTCGCTAATGTCACCATAAAGGTTCAGCGCCAAACAGAACTTCGTTCCTTCACCTGTTGATAGTTATGGTCAAACTGTGGACAGTTTGTAATTGGGCAAGTACTATGCCCCCAAGTTGTTTAAAATTATTTCACGAAGGGAGGAAGATGCTGGGAAAAAGCGTAATATAATATGAGGTGTAATACACAATTGAAAGTACATTTACAAGAGAAAAACAAGAAGGAGGTGGAGACACCTTGGAATGATAATGAACATTTGCAATGTAAAGTGCTAACCATATTGGTCTTACGATGGAAAATGTGGCGTTTTTGGTGAAAATATAACTTTGCTCAAACACTGGTGCTGTTATGTATTTTTCCCCATCACGCAATTTGACTTTAAGTGGGCCCGGAATACGAACAAGGAGTAAGTTTTAGCTTAATTAAAGGCCTAGGTAGTTAAAATAAAATGCAGTATAATAGTACGCAAATAAAATATTATCGTGAAGTATGTAGGTGATACTTCGGTGAGAAGTGACTACAAACACCTGAATGGTTAGAAAATGTTCGGCAAGCTGACCCGTAAGATGTCCTACGAAATTCTGTGGGATTTTTGGGGGTGAAAGGGCTTGCAGATGATAGGGGCACAAGCACTTTTTTATATTAAGTTATAAACAATCATTACTGTCTTTTATGTTAGGGATCTAATCTCAAGTTTGATTCTCGGGCAGTAAAGATTGCACGTTGCTTTCCTAAAAATCAGAGTGACTCACATTTTTGACCACTACCGTAACTGCTGATTAGCACGTGCCAGCCTTCCTCCTTTTTGATGTCCAGCTCTGAGAATTTTTGCAATAAATGTAACTGTAGAGTCGCACTGCTTTGAGCCCGTCCAAGTCATACAGTGTGTTGCACATTAATAGCTTCCATGACAAGTGATTCCCATTACGTCACCAGATACATCGATGCCTGAGGACATTCTTAGCATTATTACCTTTATACACGCATACATGGGTATAAGTAGGTTATTACAAACGTCTGGGAAATTAAGTTTCCTTTAAGAATTATAAACTATACAAGTAGTTAGTATTACAACAACTAATTAGTAGTGATATGAGTAGTAAAACATTTAATAATAAGGTCATGTAGAATGATCTTGAAGAAAACGACTGGTTAGCAAAACTTGTGATAAATTTTTATGACCGATTTCTAAATGATACGCATTGGACATTTCAAAGTAACCCTTCAACTTACAGCATGAAAAAATACTACGAGATGTTATAACATTATAAATTTTGGAGTACCATATGAAAATGGGTGGCTATTGACTGAATTTAATCATTTCAGCACAAAAATAGTCTAATGTATTACGCCAATTATATATGCATATATACTTTTGTAAATACGTAAAATATCAAAAGGTATGTTTTCCAATATAACTGTTTCTAGAAATACCTGCTGCAACCCAAATAAATGAAGACTATGGGGAAGAGAAAACCAGTAAATTGGTTAAACATCCGTTGCATAAGTAGTACTTAAAGGGTGTAGGATTATTTTTGTCCTACAGATTTAGTCCTTCCTCAATACTGACGACACAGAGTCTTAGCTTAGCTATAGTTAAAACAGAATGACTTGACTTAAACTTTATCTGTTTCTAAAACATAAAATAAATCATACAATTACACCAAGAAAAATGTACAAATCCACTGTCATTACAAAAAAGGACAAAAACGTACCTAACAGTATTGAGGGTACGGACAAAATGAACAGTCAATTAATTACATGTATACACAAATAGAGTGACATACAACAAAGAACATTCAAGGTCACATCACGTGGTGAGAGTTACAATAAATTGACCAATAATCGCGACAAGAAGGTCACGTCATATTGATTAACTGTCTATCATATAGTCTATCTATCTGTCGCGATTGACAAAGGGTTTTATATAGCATAAGGCATAGGAGTTTTGAGTACTAGAGCAGATTAAGTCTTAGTCTGTTGAGTAGTGTGAAATGAATTGCACAATTCAGGGTAGAGGTAGGTGGAATAAACTCGAGGAAAATATTCAGTTGGCTGGAATTATTACTGCTAAGTTTTCATCACCATTTTTATATATCATGCTTTAGACATTATAAAATACCTGTTCGCTAATATTAT